GAATGTACTTTACTGTGATTTTCACTATGACAATAAGTTTTGATTTGGATTTTCATAAAGTATTGACCAATCCTATTCATTTCTTCCCCTTATTGACTATTTACAACTTCTTTTTTTAATATGTGTGTGGCGTGATCAATATTAAATTAGGCAACATTTCGAGTATCCATTTCCAAAGGAGATTTACTCAGCCAGAGTGCTGAAAAAGTAAAAATAAAATAAAAATTGAGTATATCTAATGCTCAATCTTCTCCCTATTGAAACTTACTAATATGTATAAACTAGTGAACCGCTCTGACTCCGCACGGGTGCAATGTTGATACTAAATCTAAATTCACCCACCGGAAGTTAAGGGAAATGAAAACAGTGATGAAAAGGTATTTTTATTTTATGAATGCTCCTTTTCCTCCGGGGCTAGTGCCCCAGTTGGAATATTTGAAAATCCTTTCTCATTGCACATCTACAACATGAAACGAATCTACATACAAAATTTCATCCTCCGAAAATATAGCGATACGGAGAAACAGTGATGAAACAAATATTTATTATTATCTGCCGTATATCCAATATTGAAGCAGGTTCAGTTTCGTACACCCTTTGTTTCAAATAGCCCCATAAAAAAGGTCTAAATGTGTCAAATCAGGCGAGCGGGCAGGCCATTCTGTAGGACCTCGACGACCAGGAAAATTAGTATCCAAATAGTTTTTTACGTGTCTGGAGTAATGTGGTGGTGCTCCATCTTGTTGGAATACAAAATCCATATCGAATTCATTAGGATTCGCTTCGACGATTTCAGTGATGAGAGGGTCAACAGTAGTTTCTAGCATGTTCAAAAACAGTTCCCCTGTTGAATTTGGATCAATAAATAGAGGTCCTACAATATGGTTTTCAAAAATTCCTGCCCAAACGTTAATTTTTTCTGTCGTACTGACATTTTTTTGGTCGTTTTTATTAACAAAAAATAACTTAACAAAGCTTATCGGGTTGTTGGAATTGCCATATGGCAGATAAAAAGGAATATTTCTAGAAATATCGATATTAATGTGTTTGTCTTCAGGAAATTATTAGGTGGAGATATTGACTTCATATTCTAGGGTTGTGAAGTATTCGTCAGAAGCTTTAAAATGATTTAATTTTTCCCCAGATGGCACCAAATCGCCATCTTGAAAGTTTCATCTGTCAATTTCACTTCAAAATAAAGTATTCATGCATTTATTTCATTATCCCAAATTTCAATTTTTTGAGTTGACCCGTTCAAAAAATAAAAGGGAGGGGGGAAATTAAAGAAATGCACTGTATAATATAGCAGCGGTACGGAGACACAGTGATGAAAATTCAATTTTCGTATGTAAAAGCGCCCCTTTTATCTCCAGTGGGAATATTTGAAAATCCTTTAATGCTCATCTAAGACCTAAGAAGCATCTGTATACCAAATTTTAGCTTCCTTAGCCAGTATGGAAAAACAAAGATGAATGAGTGTAGAATGAGTAACTTTCGCATGTATGAGTATACAGGGCGTTCCAATGAAAACTTGACCTCCCCTGTACGTCAGAAACGAACATATAATCTAACATTTCAAAGAACACGTCAATTTTTATTTCTTGGGGGACTAATTCTGATATGAAAATCATAACCGAAACTTCACCCCCCTGCGGTCAGCAACTACCCCCTCTATTTTTTCAATGGCATGGGGGGTCGAGTGATACCTCATTTGAAAGATATTGTGTCCCTCTATTACCTCTGTAATTTTTTTCGAAATTGGTTCGTTCGTTATTGAAAAATTAGAAGTTGAACGTTTTATTTAATAAAAAATTCGCTGTCGTTCATTTTAATAAGGAAATCAACAACAAATACTATCAGTGGAAACAAAATCAAAGGGCGAATTTTTCAAAATGACCTCCACCTGGTTCCATACAATACAGTCTACTCTCGAAAGCGTTCCGTACATTATTCATAGATAGATAGATATATTTATTTGATCATGTTATGTATAAAATACATTTATGACAAGTCTATAAAAAAAACAGTAAAAATTTGTAACAAGTTTACAGGGTATATTAACATATTCAAATTAAGTGTGGAGGTTCGGCGAGCATCTTCCTTGTGTCAAAAGTGTGTCTACGCACATGTTTTAAATATTCTGAAGTGGAATTAATATCGGCAGGAAGTGCATTGTACAATTTGAAATCAGGAGTTTTTTTGTGATTTCATCAGCCTGAAACGTTGAGGTCTATTAAAATTGCTGTTACGTGTATCATGATCTTGTAAACCGTTGGGAAACAAGGGGGCTCTTTTGTGAATATCTAATAGGCTTGAGTAGACATACAAAGAAGGCACCGACATAATTTCATGAGTGATGAATGATTCACGGCAAGAATCCCTAAAACCGATTCCAGCAAGAATTCTCAGAGCTTTTTTCTGTTATATAAAAATGCATTGGGCATCACTAGAATTTCCCCAAAGTAGAATACCGTAAGAAATGCGAGACTGTATGAGCGAGCAGAATACTATTTTCAACGTAGTGAAATTTGTTATTGGTTTCAGCTGTCTAAGAAAAAATAAATCACTCGATAGCTTACTTTTCAAACTTGAAATATGGCTTGACCAATTTAGCCTATTGTCCACAGTAAAACCCAATAATTTGACACACTGGAATTCAGGTAATGGCAGAGCCATAGAAACAATCATCTTTTGCAATTTTTCCTTATTCATCATGAGTTTGTTGACACTGAACCAGTGCTCCGCTTTTTCTTGTATTTCCATGGACTTATCAACAAGAGCTGAATAATTCATAGAAGAGTATATCAAGGATGTTTCGTCAGCAAAAAGTACACTGTGACATGGCTTCATATAGTTGTAAAAATCATTGATGTAAATAACGAACAAAAGCGGGCCCAAAACCGATCCCAGCGGTACACCTAGGTCAATCGGCCTCAGCTCAGAAAATGTATTGTTATAAAAAACTCTCTGGAAAGATATCCGGAGTCAGCAATCGGCATTCCCGAATAATTCTCTGTCGTAGGTCTTCTAGATTTGTAGGCTTAGTAGAGTACACTTTCGACTTCAGGTGTCCCCACAGAAAGAGGTCCATCTGTGTGAGATCAGGTGATCTAACTGGCCAATTCACTGGACCCCTTCTGCCGATCCAACGCATTGGAAATCGTTCGTCCAAAACTGTCTCACCCAAACATCAAAATGTCGGAGGATCACCTTCCTGATGGAATGTTATTTCATTTTCTACTTGAATTATCATCATTTTCTAAAATTGGTGTAATCATAGGATCTAAACAGTCTTGTAATAGATGTAAGTATGAGATTACCTTCAATGAAGAATGGTCCAACAATATGATTACCAAGAAAGCCGGCCCAGATATTAAATTTTTGTGGAGTTTGTGAATGTGTTTCCATCACCAAATGAGGATTCACATCATTCCATTAACGGCAATTATGTCTATTCACTTCAGCATTCAACATGAAAGAACTTTCGCCTGAAAACATGTATTGTATAAGAGGGTTGGGTTATTGGTCAATTTCTCGCTGAACACCTCACAAAACTAAAGTCGACGATCAGGACCTTCTTCGTTTAATTCTTGAACTAGCCTTATTTTGAAAGAATGAAATTTGTGGGCTTTCAAAATCCGAAAAACAGTATCTAATAGCTGATTTATCAAACGCTCTACCTACTTGTCTGATAGGTTGTCAATTATCCATTTGTACATGTCCTTAAACTGCAACTTTAACTTCGTCATTTTTGACAGGACGGGATACTTCATGTTTTCTGTTGTGAACAGAACCTGAAGTTCGAAACTTTCATTAACTGTTTAACGTATTGTAGAATAAACCATGTTGGAACACAGTGAACAAGGATGACTGAATAATAATTCGTGTAGAAGTGACAGTGGCCAACTATCTCCTTTTTGTTCTGCGACAACTAGATTCAACAAAAACAACCAGTGCAGAAAAAACTAGCAGTGTCGTCCAGTTCAAAACGTTTACCACTAATTAAATAAATTCTACAAATCTAGAAGACCTGCGACAGAGAATTGTTCGGGAATGCCGATTTCTGACTCCGGACATCTTCAATAATGTAAGGAACGCTTTCTAAAGTAGACTGTACTAGACGGGTGTCATTTTGGACACTTTATCCGTTGATTGTGTTGCCATTGATATGACTTTTGTTGATTTCCTCAATAAAATGAGCGACAGCGAATTTTTGTTTTTTCTTAAATAAAACGTTCAACATTTAATTTCTTAATAACGATTGAACCAATTTCGAAAAAAATTACAGAAGTCATAGAGGGACAAAAGACCTTTCAAATGATGTATCACTCGACTCCCCATGCCATTGAAAGAAATAGGGGGGTAATTGCTGACCGCAGAGGGGTGGAGTTCCGGGTATAATTCCCATATCAGAATTAGTCCCCTTAGAAATAAAAATTGACGTGTTCTTCGGAATTTTCGATTACACGAAAGTTTCTGACTCACAGGGGGTCACGTTTTCGTTGGAACGCCCTGTATACTACGACACAGTAGAATCGACATTTATTGAGATAATGCAGCTACAAAAACACAAACGTCACTTATTTATCTCAAAATTCTAATGAAAGTTTGATGTGACATACATTGTATATCGAACATATTCAGTATGTATATTTGATTTATTTAGTGATTTTATGGAATCCTTTCGGCTTGTCTCTATATTCATCTCATTTTTCGCATGACATTTTTACAGAATTTGTCATGAAAAAATGTTCCAAAATAGTGTTTCTGTTAAGATCTATTTTTCCCCTGATTTTCTATTCAACATACAGGTATAAAATTCTCCATCAATCACGGCACAGTAGAATAAATATTTATTGAGATATGGAGCTACAAAAACACATGACATTAAAATTGACAAAACTTTTGAAACAACTTAATTCTTTAACATTTTCACGGATACTTGTAATCGTTCCGAAAATAGCTAACTGAAAATTGATGAACTTTGTTTTACATTTCAGCATCCAGGTGGAGAAGAAGTTCTTCTGGAGCAAGCCGGAAAAAATGCCAGCGAGGCTTTCGAAGACGTCCGTCACTCCAGTGATGCTAGGGAACTCATGAACAAATACCAAATTGGTGAACTGATTGAGTCTGAACGTAAAGAGGTCCATTCGAAAAATGTAGATTGGGGAACACCGTCTGATGAATCAGAATCAACTAATCAGAGGTGAGAATCTTCATAAGGATTCGTTTAGGAAAATTGATAATCTACCAATGGTTCTGAAAGAATAGAACGTATATTTGAAAGTATTGTAACGAATTAAAGAATTTACTGTCTTAAACAGATTTATTTCTAACAATATTTCACTTTCGCAAACTAATTTATTTACAACACTTAGCACTTAATTTATTTTCACTATTTGAATTATTTATTCGGCTTATTCAGAGTCGGCTTCAGATTCGTTACAGTATTCTAGTTGATGATCCAGTACACTATGCAAAATATGAAATATTCACAATCTACCCGTTTTAGCAGATTTTCATTTATCTAATTAGTTTTGTTATTACCTACTGTTAACTAAAAGATTTTGCAGAATAGTTTGATGTAACTGATGAAGCTACCATGTAGCTAAATGCGTTTTAAATAAAATATTATATAGAAAGGGGTATATTTTTGGAAGAGATCAATTTTTGGAAAAGAAAGGTTTTGGATTTCTTGTTTGAGATAGTCAAGTTTCAAGGAGACAGATCTTGTGCTCTAGTATCATCTAATCGTCTTTTAGTGAAAGTTTCTGAGACTAATCTCATTCGACAGTGGATGTCGAAGCTTGGCTTTGCAATGAACCGCCTTTGGGAGCTTCGTTTTTTATTGATATTCATGTCTTGAGTCTTCTGACGATCCCTCATAGGGAGGGAATCGAGAGGGAATCTTAGTTGGTTTTCTTGAAAACAGAAGAGTTCAAAATTTTCATCCATGGCCCTACCAGTACTAGCGGCTCAAAATGGCTGTGTCCCTTGCCAGTTGCAGTGGAGGGTGGAATAAACCCACTCACTTTGGACCTAATCTAACAAAACCTACCACGTAATAACGGCTACATCCATCAATTTATTTAATATACTGCCTTACATACATATAGTCATTATGAAGAGCTGAATTTGCATTTGTCTAAACAATAATTACGATAGATTAATGAAACAACTAATTTTGAATGTTATGACTTCATTAAATCATGACAAAAACCATTGTTTTTGTCAATCAAATTATATAACCTAGGTATTGTCCACTCCTACTCCGTGGGTCTTTCCGAATATGCTATACTCGCTACAGAAGTTTCAATATTTATAGAATCGGTTCTGTAAAAAGGTTTCAAAATGCCAAAAATGTGCAATAATATGCTCTTAAACTGCTAGCACTATACAGTGCGTACGTGAATAGTCCCCCCTCTTAACTTTTGAACGAAACAAGATATCAAGGTCGGACAAAATGTACGTAAAATAGGTATCATTTTCAGTATTTTTGATAAGAAAGACAATTGTTGCATCACCCGTCGTTGAGAGGGCAACACTAACTTTTTTTTCAAATAGAAAAAGGGGTCTTATGATAGCTTGTTTGACGGGTATTTAATAATAATAACAATAATAATAATAATGTTTATTCACCATATTGATCACATGTATATAACAGAGATTGGGTAATCACAGAAGCAACATTTTCGAAAAAAGGGTCTTTGTGCGTGATATTGCCACATTCTAAACTATAACTAAACTAAACAATATTGATATATATGTAAGAGTATTCTATATAATGAATAGGTATAAACTATTTACTATAAATTAGCATAATGAATTGAAAATAAACTATATACAATAATATACATAATATGGACATGATGGAATTGAAATTAAGTACTTTTTATTGAGTGCATTCTATAGGGGGTTTTATTCTCACTTATATAAGTCATATTGTATTTCAGTAAGGTAGGCATCACAATTATTTTTTTTTTTAGAAAGTGTGATGATTAATAATTTGATGAAACAGAGTTTGATCGGAATTTCTGAGCCAATTTAGTTCTTTCTTGAATTTGAATTTATTTTGTTTATTAATTAGTTGTATTTTTCCGGTACTATGCTCCAGATTTTTGGACCAAGATAACTACAGAGTCTTTGACGTACCAATTTTTGGCATCTTGGAGCGAAAAATGTATTTTCTTTTCTTTTGGGTATTATACATGTGTTCCACGTTTTATTTGTATTTTGTTCTCAACGACTTTCAGAATAATCTTCTGGCAGTATTGCTGCCGTGTATCTAGGACATCACTTTCTTTAAATAAGAGGTCACTGGAGAACGTTCTACCTTTGCCTAACAAAATTTTTAGAGTATCCAGACAACTCAAGTGGGTATTCATAATACCTCCCCAACCTATAATACCATAAGAGAGTTGCGATTGAACCAAACCATAATATATAGGAAATTTCGAGCCATTGTTTCAATAGTTTGAAGCAAAACAAAAATCCTTGTAATTTTTGAGTTAGATATAATACATGTGAATTCCTTTTCATGTGTTATTTCAATTCTCTCTCCAAAATTTTTTAATTTTTGAGAATTTGGATCTGAGTTATTAGCAGTTTCATATTAGTTTTAGGGATTTACAAACAAACGATATCATAATTTTAAGAAAAAAATTATTCTAAACTCACTTCAGTTCATTCCAATAAATGTTGAAATTAGTAATCACTCACTTCCTGACAATAATAAAGTTTGTATAAAAATTCATTATTTAATGTTTCTGGGATAATTTGGTTAGGAGCACCTATTATTCTAACCATGAGCTCTGGAGTAAACTGCAGTTGTGTAATGTAAACTTTAATTTTCACCTATCCCCAAAAAAATCTAGGGGTCACATCAGCGGGGTCATATATAATGCAGTGGGTCATTCTAAGTGACCACTTTTACCTATCTGCTGTGTTGGATAATTGTCATCTAGCCACTTTCAAAACAGCTCGACGTAAAAAAGAGGGACTTGGTCTTCTTGAAACCTAATATTAGTCGAAAACTCATTAAAATTTGACAATTTTCAAAACCGGTGGACAGGCAAAAGTGATCCCTTGGGAGAGCCCACTGGATCACTTGATATGACGCCTCTAGATGTTTTTCAGGGAAAACGTACATCTGAAGTGTAGATATACAGCCACAGTTCATTTCAGAACTCGTGGATAAAAAAGAGTGCTTGCAATGGTATTACCCCATCAACAAGAAAAAAAATTGTATACAGACTTTGTTATGAATATTTGTTTTTTCTTAAAATTATGATGTTCATAATTTGTTTTCAGATTCTCAAAAGTAATATAAAACTGCTAATTACTCTGGAAAGGCTAATTCGATTTCCGTTAATAAAAGGGTATTGAATAGAAAATTGAAAAACCTGCCACCCTATACCATTTTTATTAAAAAAAAATGGTAGCGTCTTCTCGGCGACATATTATTGAGTATTATTGTTTATGTTAATGTTGAAAACTTACAATTTCGTAGGTACTATCCTGACTTTTCATGATAAATTTTTTGTGGTTCATATCTATGACTGTGTAATCTCGGAAGATTATTCTGATATAATACATTCAATATGAAAATATATATTTTCCTAGCTTTATCTCACCTATTGAACAGATAACCTTTGAAATTCGATTACATGATTATATTTTATTTGAGGATTCAAAAAGAGATTGGTTGGAATGAAACCTATGGAGATATGCCTGAAATAAATGCATCAAGCAGTGAGATAAGGCAGTTATTTTTCAACGTTATATTTGAATTATATTTATTTAGAACTATTTTAATTATTGTCTGCCCCTTAAAATCAGGCACATATAGTATAGTGAATGCAAATGAAAACAAATTCGTCTACAGTAATGTTATTATTGCTGAAAAAATAGTCTGTCCATCTATTTTCATGTAATATTCTAATTTCGTTTTTTTTTTCAGCTCGTTCAAGTCATGGGCTGTTCCAGTAATTCTGGGAATTTTGGCAACTATTTTGTACCGTACATACTTTCAATCTTGAGAAGTATTGGATTGATTGATTTAAAGCATTTACATTTCTAGAAAATTTATTCCATTGATCTTATATAACTTCATATGTAAATTTTATTAATACAGGATGTATTAAGTCTTTCTGTTCTTGTTTTACACTAAAGAAAAATTATAAAATTAGTTTTATAATTATATGTGCTTTTTATTTTTATTCTACTTTTGAAATAACAAAATAGGTTTTAATGTTTTTTATTTTTCAGCGTAAAATTCCAAAACGCAAAATTTTTTGGCAACAAAAATAATGAACATACCTAAAACACCTTAAATGAACCTTGGCATGTGAACTTATGATATGAAACAGATATGAATTGAGAACATGGAGAAAAAAAATTAAAACTGAAACAAAAAAAATTGTTCTCCTTTCCTGTTAACCAGCCCCATTACCAAAAACAGCTCTCTCAGTGAAAACACCCTAACATCGGTGATGCCAATTTGCGAGAAATTACTGCATTTGCAATTATTTTCATTATCTTGAAGTAAAAGTGCATTAATGGCATTTTGTGAGGATTTTGCATTTACCAGTTTTTGTACGAAAGCGTACAAGGGCTAAGCAAATCTATATTATTTTACCACAATATGGCTTTCGAAACAAAAATGAACAGGCGACCTTCTATTGTATGTCACCCATATTTGGAATACCGCAATCGAGAAACATGAAGAGTTAAGAGCTATTGCGCTTAATATTTCTGAGCCGTTGGCCATGTGTGGCATGAGGGTTGCTGAGCAAACTTTGATGCTATGAATTGTCGGATCATTTTTGTGTATGGCTCTCCAGCTTCCTGAAAGAATATTTCCTGCAAGTGCCTGTCGATGGATATCTCTCGAGTACTTTTACCATCAACGCCGATGTTCCTCAGAGATCCATATTGTCTCAAACCCACTTGTCTCGTCATTCCATTTGGATTCCAGGACATCGGCTCTGCAGATGCACATTTTCACTGGCCGCAGAAGGTTGCATATTCTAATGAGGACTTAGAGGTGATTTCGAATTGGAGTGAAAGTAACCAGGTTCAATCAAATGACACAAAAACCCAGGCATCGGTTTTTTCAAAAAAGATAAATGTCTCCGAACCGCATATAATGTCAGGACCCACAATTCTGTTTTGATAAGTTTGTTGAAGGTTGAAATAGTCACCAATATGTCTTGGCAAAATCATGTTTCTCTTTTATAGATATTTTCACGGGAGGTGTTCAAGTGACTTGGGACATTTGATTACACCAAGAGCGGTACATATCAGAAATACGCGACGGGCTGTGGCTGCTCATATTTTGAGGTTCAACTCGGTACACCTGGAACTTTGATTTGGAGAACTACGTTTTTGTGGAATAAACTTCCTGAGCACGTTTTTCCCAATGAATTTAATCGTCAGCGATTCAAATCCAATGTGAATCGCTACTTTCGCACAGGCACCGTTTTTAAAGCGCCTTAAAGATTTTCCTGTAGTGCTTCTGTTGTTCTTAAAAAAACTATTTACATTCAAAACTGTGAATTCACACTGATATGTGTTGGCATATAGGTATTGTGCTGACTACAAATTGTACATTTATAGTGTTTGTGATTTCGTCAATTCACAGTTGTAAATGTGAATTCACTCTAATAACTAAAATTCACAGTTACAACTGTGATTTGATTTGTGGAAAAGTAATATTGATTTTTGTGGCGCTTCTATACGAAAGCGTAGCATATAAATTCTGATGTTTTTACCAGAATTCCTATTTATTGAATGTTTTTTCAATCATAGTAAATATTTCTAAATTGTGGTATCATTTTTTTCTTTGGTTATTTTATAATGTTATTCGATAAATTATATGTTTATCATCAGTCCAATCACCTAACATCGCTGTTTTCCAAGGTCACTGGATCAGAGCTGTGCGAAGATTTTGTGAGGATTTTCATTATTTTGAGAGTAAAATACGAATACTTTGTCATATTTTTGTAATTTCCAATGGCAACACTGCCCACCACATTCTTTTAGTTCCTTTCAATTTTTTTTTTAATTTCTTATTTAAATATACCACCTATAACTATAATAGTTTAGACCGGCCGTGACGTCACTTTTACATATATTCCACCTGCGGATTACACAACGTCGTAGCCACTGTGTACACCACCACGTGACAAAATCCCACAATTTTCACAATGGAAATACGCAACATATACAACGTCGTGACATTGTATCTGACTTTAAATGTATGAGTGACGCAATGCCAAAACGTAAATATCTTCATCTTTCTATAGTTGTTGGAGTCAAAATGTTCTCTTCAAAGGCCAGTCCATATTATGAATTCACTGCTTATTTCTCCAGTGACGTACCGGTGCGTTCCACTAAGCGCTCACAACGATCAAAATACTCCTATAACCGTTCCACATAATGACCGCGGTCTCAATCTCATAAGTAATCAATGGAATAATTACTTACACATAATGAAGTAAATTTAAGAGTAGCATAAATTCCGAGTATAATCTAAGTGTGCAATTAGACATGATATTTCCAAAATTCACCGTGTAATATGTGATTGAAAATCATGCATCTGAAATGACTTTTGAATTCTTCATCTGAATAACGATGAAATACATTCTCATAATCAATAATACGTGGCCTAAGTTTTCAGTTTTCGCGATTATAATTTTGTAAAGTTGCATTACACTCTCCAATACTGCGACGCATCTACAAATATCCAGTTGCCGTATAAGATATTTTGAATATATTCAAACTCAATTTGTTTAATAATTCATACTAATTCATACTTCTTTTTTGATAAAGTTAGCTTGCAATTATTGAAACATATTGTTAAGGTTTACATAACCCACTGCCCATCGACATAACCTAAAACGTTATGTCGATGACGTAACCTCATTAAAACTTCTCTATCACAGACCATGGTCTGTGTTCTGTATTCTCTAGTGGAACGGGGAAAACTGCGGTCGAGAGCGTGGTCGTTTTGAGCGCTTAGTTACAGAAATACTGTGGCTTAGTAGTGGCTAGTGGAACGCACATTGGAAAGTAACCACATATTGTTTTAAGCAAAATGAAATCCATATTATAAAGAAAACCTTGAATGGAATTCTGATGTTTAATCATTAATTAAATCCTGATAAACATAAATATACAATCAAGTTCTAGGGGACACACAGTTTTGGGAAAAATTTACTTGTCTAACAAAATCAACTACTTTTTATAGGCATTCCATTCGGTATTCATTCATTTTTGTCGCCCTAAAGAAAGCTATTGATTCATAGTTTTCTCCAAAAACTGTAACAACTGTAATAAAATGACCTTGATACAGCTGTCTACAAAAGAAATCGAAGAACATAATGATGACAAAAGTACATGGATTGTGATAAACAATAAAGTATATGATGTAACAGCCTATTTAAAAGAAGTAAGTACATATTATTTTTCGAAAAATTTAATCGAAGTTATTTTGTCAAACTAGGATGTTGGTTGACCAAAAATTTTTTTTAAATTCATGAAACTGATCATAGAAATAAAAATATATTTTAATGACTGATTTTATCTTTGGAACTGTTATAGGAAACTTTTCTGTTCCTAGATATAATCAACGTAAAGAAACTGTTCTGTTATGAGTACCACAACTATTGAACTTTCATAGTCATGAATATTATAGGGGGCTCCCAACGAAGTCAAGCAGTTAAATAATACAATATAACAACAGTGTAGGGAACCGGATAATAAATTATGAAAAAACAGTAAGATTAATCGATATTAAAAATGATAGATGTAATGAAAACATGATTTTATCATGAGGTTTTCTTTATCAATTATCACTTCTTTCCTCCATAATACTTCCTATAAAAATTATTAATTTCATTTATATAATTAATATTAGAAATTTGCAATAATGTCGAATGATTCAAATTTGATGCAGAAGGTCTGCAATGGTTGTGATGTTGAGATTTACCTGATTTCTTTCTATCTAATATAAACATTTGGTTTCATGGTGTTTGAAATATGTTTTACTTAGTGATGGGGTGATTTGAATAAAAAATAATCGGTCATTCGATTATTGTAATAATTCGAGACATCTTGGGAACTTGAAAGCAATCATTGGAATGGAGAGATATTTGAATTACGATATATTGCTGGATCCAAGTAATTATTTTTCCATGCATTTCTTTTGGGCCTTAAATTTCATCGATTTTGAAACATATTTTTAAAGTTTAAAGTAAATTCCTTATGATTCACATAGCCTGACTTGGCTTCCATGGTCATTTAACTATCCATTAGGTTCAAAATCAATTAATAAAATTATATATTTTTCTCCTAAGTGGAAAAAATAAAGTTGAGTGTAAAATTCTTTGAACATATGTCGTCATAAATTCATATGTATTGGTGTAAATTCAAAATGATAATGTATTTCTGTTACATGAAACAAAACACATGACAGTGAAAAGGCCTCAGGTTGAAATCACAAGAATTGGAGGTGAGCCTATCCATTAGGAACTAAGCATGCATGGTTTGTAATGAACGTTTTTACAAGAAGTAAAATATAGTTCTTCATACATATATTATCGTAATTTATTTTTTTCAGACTTTTCAGAGTAGTAAACCTGCTGACCAAGTTTGTAGTTGCCAATTCAAAGTATAAAAAAAGGACTTACCAAAATTTTCAAATGTTCAAAATTAAAGGGGTATATTTTATATAAAAAATGTGGGGAACTTTCGAAGGAAGCAATTGAGTTCAAAATAAACCCTTTATAAATATTTTTAGATCATGCATATAAATTACTTTCAAATACAAACTGGAAGAAAAAGCCCTCAACATATCTTTGTAAAAAGTTTATTTTCAACTCAATCTTCTTGTATAAAGAGACAAATAATAAAAAACCTTTCTCACTTTCACATGATAAAAAACGGAATATCTTTAAAATTGAAAGTGAAATTTCCATACATGAGAATATAAAGTTACAATCTTTGTATCAGTCATCAACTTCCATGATTATTAATTCTTTTCCCAATCGTGATCATCACTATATAATGTTTCCGTTTATTTAGTATTTACTTGAACATTATTGAAAAAAAGCATCAACTATGTTACCGTTTCTTGTTTGGTAATCAGGTAATGTTCCCATATCTCACACCTTTCGAGTCAACTACAGATGAGCAATTTCATAACTTTACAATAATTGTGTTTCAATTATTCTTGATCTCAAATAGGCCTTGAGAATTTACCTACTTCAATTTGTAATGTGTCAAAGAAAATGATATTTTTCAATAGAGTTCAACATTTGATAATATAATGAGAGTAGTCAGGAACTTCAAAGCAAAAATGAGTGTGCCCCACCAAAAATTTGTAATGTAGGTAGGAAATTTAATATTTTTCTTCTCTCATTTATGATATCCTTCACAAATGAATCTCAATTTGAAATATTTCTGTTATAACTCATAGAAAAAGTATAGTTATAAGCGAGTAATAGAGATGAATAATAGACTTGTTATTTTGTATTGCAGAATTTATCCCCATTTCATTGTGATATATGTAGGTTATTTTGCGTTTTAGAGTTCATTATCATTTTGTTATTAATCGTTCTTTGGAAGTCAGTAATGCCAGTCTTTTTAAAAGCAGCTTCAATTGTTTAACAGGCTAGATAATATATGTCCCGGGTGATGACATCATTGTATACGGGGTCATTCTGTTGTTTGGGGTGTTAGATATTTAAATTTGGAAAGGAACGTCTAGTTCCTAAGAATCAATATTTGTAATGGGACAACAATTGAAAATTTACTTCGGTTCAACCGGTAATGAACTCAAGTCAATAATTCTAAATAAAACCCTGACGAGTTTTAAATCAAATGGTCAGTGACCATTTTCTTTCAAAATGGTGTCATTTAGCAATTTTCTACAAATTTAATATTAAAATTGTAGAAATACTGTCAAAACAACTTAATATTGTCATTGTGATGAACAAAAAAGAGCAATGGTTGCTCAATTCTCAAAAGAAAAAAAATAGGAATTGACATTTTTCTCCATTCACGTACTTTTCATTATTTTTTCAAATGCCATTTTTACTTAATTTATCTCAAAATTTTTAATAGGAAGTGATATTTATACTTTTGACATACAAGGCGGTTCATTTTTCTATACAAGTGAAAAAGTGATGGTTTCAAAGCTTAGTACATACTTAGTTATTGTCCAAAATACATTTAGTGGGAGGTAATTAAGGTTATGTAATTTAAAACAAGGTTTGAGTTTTTATCTTTTGGGGGAATTTTGGCAGTATTAATCTATGACAGGCAAAAAATTATAAAACATCACTTTTTTTCATTACAATTTTTAATTACATACTCACATATACTGATACTCATGGACAAAATATGATGAGCTGTTTTCTCGGGTTTAGCTCCATGTTCTGTGTTGTTAATCCTCATAAGGATTGTTTTCACAACGTTTCGACAAAGTCCCATTTGCATTCTTCTGGTGGTGTCTGGAGTTTTTCAACTAGACTGTCACCTAGTCTTGTGAAAATAATCTTTATGAGGATAAAAAATACAGAACACAGTTATAAGGATAAAAAATACAGAACACGGTTATAAGGATAAAAAATACAGAAAACGGAGGGAAACCCGAAAAAACAGCTTGTCATGAATTCTAGCATCCTGGGGGAGAAGAGGTGTTGTTAGAACATGCCGGAAAAGATGGCAGTGAGGCATTTGAAGAGGCTGACCACTCCAGTGATGCCAGGGAGTTGATGACTAAATATCAAATTGGCGAGTTGAATGAAGCAGAGCGTAAACCAATTATAAAGAGAAAAACGATTTCTTTTGATTCTGAGGAGTCATCTCTCAAAATGTGAGTGCATGTTGTCACCCCGAATGTTGAATTAACTAGCCTTACTTTGGTTCATAAGGAAGCAAACAATTTATTTAATAACAAATCGTCATGAAATTAAAAAGTAGGTGCCCCAACAATTGTGACTACAAAGTCTGTTGATTTTTCTTTCATTCAATTAATGAAAATCCTTTTTTTTTATTTTGACAACCATAGTGAAAGTGATTTTTGTTTTCTCAGATTCATCAATATTATTTTCTGTTTTGGCCACTAAATGACAAAACTTGTGCTTTGATATGCTTTTATTGATTTCTTATTTTTCAATATTCCTTCAATATTATCTATAATGTCCTTATGTCCACTGAAAGTAAACAAGCTGAGAATTTAATTCCTTTTCTTTTTCAGAAAAATTATTTCGGTGGCAGTACCAATTTCATTGGGAATATTGGCAGCTATTTTATACCGTAAATATTTTCATTCTTGAGAAAGCCCGACTTGATAATTGAACGAATTATTCCAAATATTTACATTCATGTATTTTTTATTGTTAATAAATAAATGTAATTTTATTATCTAACGTACTTTTATTCATATTGTTTTCTTGAAATGTTACTGAGAAAAAATGAAGAGTAGATTCTAAAACAGTCGATGTCATCCGCATCACGATATGTAGTCTTTTTTGCTTATTTCTATTCTGTCAGAAGCTTGGGATGCTAAGAAAGCGTAGAAGGGCCACACCACTTCAAAATTTTATAGTGGGTGCCCTACGATTTGAACGATCGACAGAAATTGTCACGTTTCAAGGTATTTTCTTCTTTGCTTTTGAGCAATCAAAACGATCCTTTTTTGTATTGGATCGTCACGTGTGATGAAAAGTGGATCCTCTACGACAACAAAAGACATTCAGGACAGTGGTTGGATACCAATAAGCCACCCTGGCACTTTCCAAAGGTGAAAACTCACCATGAAAAGACCATGGTTACTGTATGGTGGTCAGCGGCTGGTGTGATTCACTATAACTTTCTGCAACTGGGCCAAACCATCAGAGCAGAGTCCTATTGTGAGGAAATCGAAGAAATGTATCAAAAATTGCGTCAGCAGTAGCCGGCATTGATCAACAGAAGAGTTTTGATCATGCTCCACGACAACACCCGCCCGCACGTGTCACAAATCACAATCCGGAAATGAAACGAATTGAGCGTCCAAGTTTTGCCAAACCACTATACTTTCTAGACCTTTCGCCAACCGACTACCATCTTTTCAAACACGTTGATAACTTTCTCACCGGTAGAACCTTCGCCAATCAGGACCAGGTAAAAAACGGCCTTCGTCGACTTCATATAATCCCGAGCACATAATTATTATGCTGACGGAATTATTTGACTTGTGACAAAAGTGTATTGATTCAAATGGTGGTCATTTCCATTTAAGTATTCACTGAAATATTACGGTTTAAAGTACTCATAAAAACGGATAAAACTTTTGAAACAACCTAATAGTTTGGAAATACTTGAGTTTTGTATAAAATGAAACCAATTGAAATAATTCTGAAAAATATTTACAAAAATAATCATTTAAATCTGAATCCTGAAGTACGAAAAATCACTCACTACCAGCGCTAGTAGTTCGGTAGGGACAAACAGTGCCTAATCCTCATATAAACATATGGTAAAGTACAATTAAAAAGAATGTTTCTAACAGAAGAAGATGTGCTTGGAACAAAACTAAAATTTGCAACTGTAAAGGAGAACAATATTGTAACATTAAAACGTTGGATTGCATGCTGTAATTTAAAAGTAACTAGAAAAAAGTTGAATTAATAGACAGTTTAGTATACAGACTCTAGTAAAAAAGTAGCGGTAGATTCAAACTGTAATAAATGAAATTAAAAATAAATATGAATTTCAGATTCATTTCCGAGTAAAATATGAATCAAATATATAGATGGTAATGAAATAAATTTAATTAAATATAATAAATGAATATAATTTAATAAACGATTGAGGTTATATCTCATTCTAATCAATATTAATTAACTATGAAAAATTTACTATTCATTTCATGTTTAGAGCATACATATGAATATTTATTTATTTTTTGCAGTGTTAAATCCACTCTCATCAAAGCATGTATCCATTTCTTACATCTAACCTCATTAATATGAGGTTTTATAAATGGTATAAAAAACACGTTTTCTTCCGGATATCGATTATTCGACGTACAATTCGCAAAACAGCAATGCTTTGTTGGCATTATACTAGCACAAAATAATTTTTTATATCAGATTTATATTTTTAAATAATAAATTAATATTACGTAAACAATACTGTTTTACATGTGAATAGTTTATGTTTGTCCCTACTACTAGTGCTGCCTCTCGTGACATGTTCGCTGAACTATTCTCAGGAGAAAGGCTCATTACAGCTATGTGGGGTATATTTTCAACAATTTACTAAAGGGGATCTGTAACGTAACTGAAACAATCTTTGAAATAATAGAAATATATTGATAATATATACAAAATGATGTAGAGAGCCCAAACTCAGCTCTCTCAATTGTAACAGTATAAAAATATTAAGGAATGATGGGTTATAAACACAATTTCATAAAAGGAGACTAGTAAAACCAAGAACCATGTTCCAGCCGGTTCTATTGAAAAAAAATTGATGTTCTTGACACTTGCATCATTTGAACATAGATACATTATTTCTTATTTCTTGAAAGTAATTTATATATAACAATTTTTCAAATTCTGGCTGAAACAATTCAGTTGAAAAACAGTAAATTACAAAGGCAACTGTTGAAATGTGTAATTTTTCAAAATATCTTCATAAAAATATTGGTTTCAAAAAATCTCAATGGGGTTACCAGTATACCATTATTATTCTTCATCAACAAGAACAAAGTAAAGAAGTCATTTGATGTATGCAATTAAATTGGTTTTCATTTTCAAATTATGTTTAGAGTAATCCTATTCTAATATTATTAGAAGAGTATATTGATTCATTGATATACCAGATATCCCAATTGAACTTTGTACTTATATATTCTCGATATGTTAAATGGGTTGCGAGCCAAATTTCAAAAAATCAATACACAAAGTCATTTGAAAAATAATTCCCTATGTTAAAGGATTTTTTTACTGGTAGAATTCACTTGGTACTTTAATTTTTCTTCTAAAACCAGTCCAGCCTCTCTTATAACTATAAAACAGCTTCACTGGCATTCCCACGGAACAAGAGAGGAAAGATTTGTTCTTCGGTAGAATCTGAATATGATTGATCTTTAAATAACTATCCAACCCTTCAATTGAAAACTAATAGCATTAAATATTTAAATTCGATGGAGATTATACTGATGTAGAAGACATAGCAGCTGAGCAGCTATCATTGTCTTCTATTCTACTCTAAAAATGAGGTATTTCATTTGGCACCGGAAGAGAAATATAGCCCAAACATAAACAGTACTTACTGTATAAAAATATAAAACTACTGACCCACTTTAAAAGTTTTTAAAATATGTGAATATGGGTTAGTAAAACGTTAGAACTATTGTAAATGACTTAAAAACTGGTTAAAAAGTGTTAATACAATTCAAATATGAATACTCAATTGAAAAATATGATTTTGAACAGGTTTTCCATTATTTTTATCTTTTTAAAAATTGTCTGATATCTATTCATAAACATGCACAACCCTTAGAAAGTCACACAACTGAAAACAAAACAGATGCTTTGGAAAAAAGTAAGAACATACTTTTAAATAAAAACAAATGTTTCAACAATTTCATTATGGAATATTTTCCAAAGCAACAGTTTTTGCCTCTTAAAATCATCCAATTCCGAAAATCATTTGAAAAAGGTATAAAAACATGTATAAAGGACAAAATTCATAAACATAAAATAGCAAAAACAGAATAAATAAATGCATTGAAAGAAATAGATGCAAATATACCTATATAAAACTATTTCTTTCTACAATTAATTCTAGAGAACATATCAACGAATATTTGAGCTAGGTTAACACCCGTTGAGCAAAACAATTACTATTGCACATGGTCGAGCTGATCTGATTCGTTTTGAGATCCGATAGTAGAGAGAAAATTAGGTTTTTATCACAATAATTATGTTTGAATGAAGAATCCATTCAACGAATCTCCTGATCAAAATTGCACAATAGCCTGTGTCTAATTTCATTAATTCTCTAATTATCAGGACGGACAATTTCCATAATGTACACCTTGCCATTATCGTCGATTGCCAGGAAAGAGTCAAAATCATTTGACGCAGACATATATTTTGCTTTTCCTCCTAGCTTCATGCATGATAACAGAAAATCGTTACCATCGAGCGGTGTACGGTCCCTCCAGTAAGAAAAGTCCATAGAACAGAGATCATATGGGACATTTTCCAAAATGTCGATGCTGAAAATTTTAATGAATATCAATTTCTATCATAAACTTTTTAAATATTCACTAGCAAATGAATAATGCAAATAGGGTCTCAACATATTTATGCTTCATTAATGGATACGTTTTTGATAACCTTATTGAAGGAATCAGAATTATATTTGCATCTAACGTATTGAATATGTTCGACAAGTAGGCTAAAGTTGAAGGAGTCAATGCAAACAAACGGGAATCAATGACAGACAAATATTCTGACAATATATGGGTCTCAATACAAACCTCTGGGGTCTGCCTCTACTTTTCACGATCTTTTTCAAGGACTTGAGATTCCACCAAGCTATTTCAGTGCCCAAACTGATCAGTATTGGTTCAAAGTTCGGCGAAAACAGCAATCCTTCCACAGGATCATCATGAAGTTTCAAGGTTGTCCTTTTGAAACAATCTCTCAAATTCCACACCTGAAAGTTATAAAAAGACATCAATTATTGTAAGATGTGTTTGCATTTTTACTCAATATAGGGCTTGAAGAAAAGCTGAATTCAAGTTATTTTTTAATCTAGTCCGATAAGTTACATATTCTGTAGTTTTCACCACACAATGTGTATTCTTTTGTGATTCTTTATATTATATAGAATTTTGTGAAACGGAAACATATTAAAATCGAAAGTTAAATACCTCTATGTTGCCAGACATGAATCCAACCGCTAAAAGGGAGCCATCACCAGAGAAACAGGCCGACCTGACCTTATCAGCCAATTTTTCGTGTCTCAGCGATTTCGAACTATCAGCTAATGAAAGAATATCCATATATCTCCAATCATCTTGCTTGTAAAATAGTGCCAGATGAGAATTGTGTGACGCAAAAACGGCGAGTTTGCTTTGAACTGTTTTTGATATAGTCGAATTCGAAATATCTGCAAATCCATTATCCTGTTGCCAATCATAGATTTGACAGAAATTATCAACAAATATCAAACGGTCCAACTTGTGAAAGACTGTTGGATTCACAATTTTTTTTTCATAAACTTTATTTCCTTTATAGATTTTAACTAACTCATCGCCAAATATTACAATCAAGAGTCCAGTCTCACAATCTAAGAAATCTAGGCTGTCGAAACTGCCACCAGACTCGCCAGTCGGGGTGCGATTATAATATGAATTACTGGGATCATACGATTTTAGGTAAGTCACTTCAGCACCAGTTGCTTCTTGCAAGCACGTGTTGGTTTTTGAACGTATCTTGAAAATATGTACTTCACCATTACTCAAACCATAAATCACTTCATTTCCACACACTGAAAAACAAGTGCAGGTTACTTTTGGATGGATGACCTCACTTTCTGAAATGAGAATATATCCACTGAAAACCTGAAAATTATTAATTATGAATAAACTACTAAAATAAGACAATATAAATAAAAACACGGTGCAGTGTTTACATGTAATTTATTCTACCAAAATTGGATACAAGCTTCTTGATATATTGATGGATGCTCCATTGTTAGATTTATTTAAAATGTGTCAAAATTTTTGTATCTATTCTGTTATAATATTCAATAAAGTTCAAAAGCTACTGACAGTTACTAATGAACAATTCCACTAGTAACATAAACGGATGGGAAAAAAGTATCAGAAGCAACAGTAAATTTTCTTTTGGTAGCCGTTTAATGTGAGATATTTCATATCATTATTGTGTTTCAATAGAATTGCAAATAAGTTACTAACCTACCCTGTATAATTTACCAGGATATGAATGAAAATTATTATTGACAATGAAGAATTGGATGCGAATTTGATAAATAATATATGGAAGAACAGATACTTCGGTATGGTAAGAGCTTTAGGCCTTCTGTAGGAACAATTTTCAAATTCAGGAATTGTATGCAATTGCAAATATCTTTTGAAACTGGGTGTTGGGATTTTAGGCCTTCATTTATTGGAATTTCTATCTGATGTGCCGGCGAAATGTCAGTCTACAAACCCGAAACCCCAAACAGTTTCAATTTTTAAATTAGACATGCCGTTTTTATGAAAATCAGGGAAAGTAGAATGGCCATTTGCATGCAACACTATGTATCTCTTCAGAGCTTTTGAATTGGTAATTACATAGAGTTTCATCTATCTTGTATGACATAACTTTCTCTGTTCATACCTGTATTTTGTTTTCTTTGCTGATGACGGCGGTGAGAACATTATTTTTTCTCCAAAATGGCGTACAAATGGGCATATTCTCAGTATGAGGTTCTCTTTCATAAGGTTGAATGTGACATTGTTGCAAAGTTTTCCTATCAGATCCTATAAGTAATATGTGAACTGACCGGTCTTCATCGTAAAAAGTGTCAAGAGATTTTGCCAACCTATAAAAAAAAGGTTTATTCCATTCCAATACTTATTATAATTATTAAAGAATATTTCACAACCTCACCCTTTATTCGGAAACTCTCTCAACAGTTTCTTCTTCTGGATATCCCAAATATAGACTGTATTCTTATTGGTGCTAACTACTAAAAATTGGTTATCAACTGTAAGAGTTGAACAGATGTTGATCTTGGTAGGATCTGAGATGTTATAAACCATCTCCATTCTACCTTTCTCCCATCGCCACTGTTTAAGGTTTTTGTCGCTAATGGCAAAAAAATTATCATCGCTAGCAAACAGTGAATTGCAATTATTTGCATTGTGAAGCTGACAATGAAAGCTTGGCTGGTCATCTTCTATTCTATAAACAAATATATCATCCTGCAAATAAAATTATTTGTGTTAGTTGTTGAAGAAACAAGGTACATAGACATAAGGTACGGAAAATGCCCGTACCTTATGTCGTAAAATGATTGAAGTTTTGCAATGAAACAATGACAAAAGAGCAGCGTCAGCGTAATGCTGTTCAAAAATTTAAGACGTTATATTATATCATAATACCTAGGTATGAAAACAGCAGCGAAATACCGAGTCAATTTTGTTCCTTTTTTTGCCGGTAACTAACTGACTATCCCCACCAATACCCATAATGATAGTTTGTTCTTGCTGGTAAATTCCAGTTTTTATAACATTTTCATGCACGCCAAAATCAATGCCACATTACCCCACCCCTAGTCATAAAACCAGATTGGCACTGTCAACTTCTTTAGTAGATATTGTAGTTGTTGTATTCTGAGGTTATGAACGAAGTTAGCCAGATGCAATTATCTTCTGTTGTGAACATTTTTAGCCAAAAAATCAATCTTGTACATACATTCTGATATTTTTGTATCCTTGATAACGTGATTTGATCAAGACAAGAGCCAAATTCTGAGGTTATGAACGAAGTTAGGGCCATAGACAATATCACAGTAGTTGAATATGAAAAAATTACACGTGATTGAAAGCATAATTTGTAGTCAATATTAACACTCAAACATTTAATTTCATAGCTACATTCAATTTTTTGATTGTCGATCCTAATTTTGACACTATCTATGGTCCTCTGTTGTTCTTTAGAATTTCCAAATATAATACAAGATTATTTGTTGGGATTTACGTTCAAACAATGATATCTAAAAATAATGCTCTTGTGCCAACAAATTTTTCAATTAACCAGAAAAATATAAAATCGTATCGTCTGCATAGGAGTGCATTTCAAATATTTCAAGTGCTTTGCCAAAATCAGAACTATAGATAATAAAGAGATAAAATTGACCCTTGGGATGCACCATGTGAGACTTAAATATAATCAGACGTTGAACCGTTTAGTTTAACACATTGATTACTAAGACATGATTTGATAAATTTTTGTGAGATCTCTCGAAAACCAATATAGTGAAGTTTGGCACATAGAAATTCATGGCTCATAATGTCAAATGCTTTACTATAATCAATTGATACAAAAAGAGTCAATTCTTTGTTGTCAGAGGACCAATAGATGTCATCCATCATTTTCAGTAGGGCGCTAGTGGTGCCCTACTTTCTTTTTCTTCTTTGAAATTGTGCTGATCTTGAATGTATTTGAGATTTTTTTTTAACTTCTTGTATCAGTTGTTATTCATTTTATATTGGTTACAATGTTCAATGCGTTAAGTTTTTTGAATTTCTAAAATACACAATTTTTTATTTTTTATATTACTTTCAATACATCGGTCAACCAAGGTGTCTTTGACTTACTTGAGGTTAAATGGAAGAGCAATTGAATGATGACTTGTCATCATGTAAATTGAACTTCGCCTTTTATCTTCATATAATAAATGAACTAACTGTTATTGATTAATTTGCTTTAAATGTATTAGAAGATAATAAAGACGATATTATTATTATTACTTACTCTTTCTCTTCTGTTATAAATATTCTTGTTTCTTGATATTAATTAAGATTATTATTATGAAATATATAATTACTGAAAGTTGTGACTATTTGATTGACGTCTGTCAGCAGATAAATTTCATACCAGGGCATCAATTGCAAATCAGCAAAGAAAGTCTTATAATTGAAGTATTTCAATTATAAGATGATATATTAATGTTTGCTTTTATCAGTTTCAAATATTGAATCACAGAGCACCAAACAGTGGTCGGACACTGAATTCATATTCAAAGTATCATTTCTTAAAATACTGACAGTATTAAATATGACCCTTTAACTAAAACTGTCATGAAAGAAATGTTATTACTTCAATAGAAACCCTCAAATTCGAAAATCGTGCTCACCGAAAATTAACAAGGTCTTATCTTTTAACGTGCGATCCTGTATTTTGGTGGTTCCAAGAGAACTAACCACTCCCAAATCTTGGAAATATTGATATTAAGATCTGAGTCTATTAAAACACTTCATTACAAAATTTTAATACAAACTGTTTTTGATGAATAGTAATAAGTGTTTCGTTATACGGGGGCCGACGGTAGATGTTAGTGGAGTGGGTGATCATTGGATACATTAATTATCTGTGCTCAGTAGATGTCAACAGAAAATGACACCTTTCGCATGTTTCAGAACAAGATTTTTTTTTGTAATAAACCTGAAAACAATATTTCCGAAACAAAGAAGGTATATGAAATATATTTAGAATGGTCTGAAGAATCCAAAATTTAAATAACATACATGATGTTGCATTCAATACAAGAAAGTTGGTATTGGCCACTGTTACATTTTTTAGAACACACTCCATTCCATTTGGCTAATACAAACTGTATATAAAACCAAAAAGATATTATGCAAAAAATATTACTATTTAAGAGTACAATTATTACTATATTAACCTCGAACTCCTTATAAAGTATTTGAATAAAAAGTAATATGTTCCCATAAATGGAAAGTATCTAAAATATGTCCAATACTGAAATCAGGGGCTCCAAATAACATTCTGAACTATCGACCCATAACAATTCTGTCCAACTTTGCAAAGGTCTTTGAGATGTATCTGTATAACAACATTTTTCCTAAAGTGAAAAATAGTATAACTTTATATCAGCATGGTTTCATCAATAAACATTCAACAATAACTAATCTCATGTGTTTTACACAAACGATCAGCACTGCGTTATATAAACAGCTACAGGTGGATAAAATCTATACAGACTTCTCAAAGGCCTTTAATAAATTGAACCATCAAATTCTACTGAATGAACTTTTTTCTGTTGGTTTTGATAGTCAACTGTTGAATTTACTACAGTCTTATCTTCAAAATCGTATGCTATTTGTAGAATACAAAGGACACAAATCAGCAGAATTCACTACAACTAGTGGTGCTCCTCAAGGAAGTAATCTAGCTCCTCTTCTATTGTCCTTGTTTATGAATGATATTGTTTCAAATACCTCTACTAACATATTACTCTTTGCTGATGACTTGAAGATTTTCAGACTCATTGAATCAACCGAGGACTGTCTTATTCTGCAGAAGGAAGTTAATTCGATACATGAATGGTGCATACTAAACAAGCTTCCCCTGAATATTCAAAAATGTAAATTTATGAAATACACCCTCAATAACGTCATATTAGAACAAAGCACAGAAACTAAAGATCTGGGCATCTTATTCGATAAGAAACTTAGATTCACAATAAAAATTAATCTAATCACATCTTCTGCAAAAAAAATGCTTGGCCTTATCTTCAGGACGTGTAGAGAGTTTCAAAACCAAGAATGTTTTATAACACTTTTTAATGCATATGTCCGATCTCGACTGGAATATGGCTCCCTAATCGGGTCACCTATATACAATGTGCATATACAGCAACTCGAATCATGTCAAATAATCTTTATGAAATACATGGCTTACAAACTGGATAGAGCTTACCCATCCCAAGGAATTGATAATAGAGTGTTGCTAAATAGATTTGCCCTCTTATCCTTAGAAAACAGTAGAACATATTATGCCTGTATCTTCATATATAAATTGATTCATAATCTGGTTGACTGCCCAGATTTGTTATCTCAACTAGATTTTCACGTACCGAGACAAAGTAGTAGAAACGAAATATTTTTCTAATTGCCTTTGCCTAGGATCAACGTGTTAATAAAATTCCCAGTTTATAACATCTGTAAAATTTATAATAGTTTCTATTCAGAATGTGATGTTTTTGTTGTTCCATTTGGACACTTCAAGTATATAATTTGTAACAAACTATTTTTTTATGCAAGTCAAACTACAATCTAATTACAACCGATAAGTGAAATACTGTGTTTCAACTCTCTGCGAATTCTGTTAGAATTCTACAGTATATGTTTCTTTTTTTTTATTATTATATGAATGTATCACTGTTTGTATAATATACTACTCTATTACTCTGCTGATTTTTTATGCTATTCGTTATATTCCATTGTACTCATACTTAGTCATAACTGTAAACTTAATTATATTTGTCTTGTAATCGTGCAATGTACAACAGAAAAAAAAACTGATTACTGGTGCAATATTATATCAACAAGTAGCAAATTCATCTGTTCTTGATATACTTAATTTCACTCTAATGGAGTTAGTTGCATATTATATATTTAATTTGTCTCAAAAATCATAAAAATGATATCAGACATGTCACAGAAAAAAAATTGAAGTATCCTGTAAATAAATGATAGAAATATATTACCTGACAAGCAAATGCAATCAAAATCATGATATGTGTTTCAAGATACAAAACACATGGTGCAGGCATCCCTCTAGGACCAGTACTGAAGAGCCGAGTTTCTGTCCGAGCATCCCAAACCGAGACATTACCTCTTTCAGAACCAGTAATGATGCGAAATGTGTTTGGAAAATTATTGCAAAAACCAGCCGAAATCAAATGATCTTCTTCAGACTCGAAAACGCCAAACCTTTTTCTAGGGGACACCTGACCACGATCTGCAGTGTGCATATCTTGCCAATAGGACTGTTTGCTTTTCGGTGAAACTATAACAGAAAATGACAAATTAAAAAGTACAAAATTTATTTATTCAATAGCTTACTTTGAAGCAGATTAGTGAAATCTCGGCTATTTCTAGCACTGTCGGCAGCAAATTTCCACATCAACACTGTCCCATCTATAGAAACGGACAAGAAATAGGATTTATCTGGGCTGATGATCAATGATTTTATGGCACCCTCATGGCCGACAAAATTAGCTATTTCTTTGACAGATTGTTCGTAAAACAGCTGGAAATCAGATAAAACAAAGATCTAAAAAGAGATTTTTTGTGAGAATATAACTAACTTTTATTTTTCCATTGGTGGTTCCAATCAATATACTCTGGGGAGAATCTACGAAGCACGCTGACGTTATATCATCCTTAACATTAATTTTCTGAGAATAATCAAATTCTTCACAAGGTTTCCTTAAAAAAATCCCAATTACTGCATGAATTGTTGATGTCACTGAACTTACTGTAACTGTAAATATAGCTGATTCCCTGTTTTGGCTAATTTGATGGCATCTTTGAATACATAACTGTCTCTGTTTTCACGCAACGCATACTGTATAATGTCCGTTTTCTCATAGCTGTATAGATTTCCACCACAACGTTTGATGAAATCCTTATACTGCTTTAGTTTTTCTGATAAAATATTGTCCTGAAAAAGTACCAAATAATGTTTTTTAATAATGTATCATACAGTCACATTACCAGTGAATTTATTTAGGGTCCCTGTTGTGCTTAATTATACTGACAAATAAAATTCAATGTCCAGGGTGATATTAGCCAGGAAAATAGTTGTTTTCCGGCAGGCATTTACTAGAACCTACCATCTCACCTATTACGAATCCGGACAAATACTGAGCAATGGACGTTGTGCATGACACTATTTCGTATTAAGGGCGTTTGCACGAATTCTTTGCTTTGCAGTTTGCAGCTGCTCCCAGTGAACGAGAGGCCCAAGACTTTAATTGCAATACCAAACGAATATTAATTTGAAGCTCCAGTGAAATAAGCAGATGAATATTTTTGATAAACGCAAAAGTGACTGGTCTGGGAATGAAGTGAAAAACTGAAGAAGCTAGTGGAACAGAATAGTCTCTATACTGGCAATCACAGACAACGAAAAAACTCATGCTAGATACGTATTACCAGCTTTATATATTGGCCCTGAATCTATAGGATAGGACTAGATCATCAAATGGTTCAATAAAATACACCAGGGAATGCACTCTGAAAAATCTTCTATAAAAAGAAGTGAAGAACTGTTCAACAAACAGGGTTCATTCAGCTCAGAATAACTTCAGCGCTAGTCATTGGACATTTTTTCATGTAGAGGACACCTGAACAAAATATAGTTGTGTAACTAGATGCAATAAAGAACAGAGAAGCTCGTGATGTTTAATGCAAATTATGTCGATAAAAATCTGAAAAACATACCACATGGTATAAACTAGTTCAAAGAACAAGAGTGTTGGAAATGGGTGTAATGAAAAAGATGGCGGAAACGCAAATCTATGAAGATGCAGTGTTTTACGGAGACTTTGTAGAAATGAACATATCAAAAGCTCCCAAGGAGCAAAAAAGCACTTCCATTATTTTATAACAAGTAGCCGTGGTCTGCAAGTGTGTTCCAATAATTGAAAATCCATTGCGGCAGTTGTATTGCCAACAGCATATGCAGGAATAACTTCAGTGAAGAATCCTGCACTGACAACTGTCGGATTTAATCTAACGCCTTTCGTGGTATTAGCCAAGTTGTTTTCTGATAGGTATCAGTCCATTGACCAACAGTGTAGGCAGTTGATACTGGCCTGAATAGATTGTTCTTTAACATGATTTGATTGATAGTCAGTCTTCAAGTATGCCCACTGACTATATATGAATATCTATATATTTATCATTATTCTTTCAATTCAATCAATTTCAAGTAGACATACTTACTTCACGAGTTATGTATATCTGATATTTATCCATGTCTCTCAGAACATCTTCCTTGCCGACAGCCTTCACTTTTGCTGCCAAGAATCTTAAATCGAAATAAATATCAAATTTATCAAAATATTCTCCGTAATACAGATGGTAACCAATAAACTGTAATGTATAGTTGTCATTAGGTAAATTTGCATAATTTTTACCAGTGAGTCTGTCATAGCCAGAGAGTAGCTTTCTATGCAACAAGACAGAACAGTCTTTTGTGATGTCTTTAAGGTAATTCAAGTGAATGTCGTGGATTCCATAAATGTAAGTCTTCAGATCCTTGTGATAGAATGGTACGATGAGCGATTTCTCTGCAAACTTGTTCATGATGTTGCGGACATCGTCATGGGATACATCCCACAGAGTTTTGAGTACTTCTGGAGGTATATTGACATCCGGGGGAAATATTGCAAGGTCCTCGTAGAGATCCTTCAAGTCGCTGGTCAAAAGATTTTCGATGCACTTTTTAATCATTTGAAGGATATCCACTTCAGTGGTATTATACTTATTCAACCTGAAGCAGAGAGAAATTAAATCAAAAATATTCAATGGGGCTTATTCAGTGAGAAGGTTAAATAATTATAACGAGCATTACTCAAATAGGTGCATATAAAAAATAGCGTATTCCTTTGTAATTTTTGAATTGTTTCGATTTTTTGTAAGTTCTCTCTAGGTAGAAATTGAATTTTTAGTTTTTCTTCCCTTCATGGGTATTTTTCAAAAAATTATTTCTATTTTCAATATTTAAGAAAAAAACATGTGAAAATGTAAAATTTCTTAATATACAGTGTGAAAACTGTAAATTTTCATTATATCCTGAAATATAATGTATAATAAAAAAACTCAACAGAACTGAGAATATTCACTAACCTGTAATGTCCCTTCATAACCATAGTTTTGACAAAATCCCAAATACTTTTTCCTTCCTCTTCTTTTATATAATCAGCATTCTCACTCAAATATGATCCGATGAGAGCAATGAGCATGGGATGACCTTGACAAATACTATGAATTTCATCAGCGGCAGCAGGTAATTCATGATCAACTTTGAGAGATTTTTTGAACAGATTTAAAGACTCTCTGCGGGAAAAACCTGTTTTCACCTGAAAGTTGGGATATCTACAAATATTTACTAAACCAAAGATTTTACACGATATAATTTTTGAAACTTTCTATGTTTTTTACCACTTTTATTTTTAACTAACGTTACTGCAGTTTAGTCCTATACGGACATTTTCAAACTTATACAATAAACTATAACGTTAGTTACGAATAAAAATTGGTAAAAAACATAGAAAGTTTCATTTCTCTTTTCTTCATTATGATTTCCTACCACGTAGTAACGGATTCATCCACCAATTTATTGATATAATTTTTGATTATATATCTAATCAAATACCGACCTCGACCAGTACAGCCTCTTCATTCCGCAAAATATTTTTATTCTGGGTAGTAATCACAGTTTTGCAGTTTACAATATCGAAACACTCTAAAACTTCCTCATTGTTAGCGTCATCAAGAATCAACAGGGAATTTTTCAGTCTGTTATCTATAAATAGCATGATGAGCAACCGTTTCAAGTTATCTACGTCATCTTCATTATGAGAAATTTTTTGTGAGATCATTTCACTTGCAGTAGTATAAAGCCTGAAATGAAAAGAAATAGAAACATATTTAACCAGTTTGACAATGGTAATAAATTTTACTATTGATAATGACTTATTCGAACAGAAGATATATATTTTTTATACAGACGTAAGACATTAGGAATATTAGAAATGGAAACTTTAAGTATCCCAGATACATGTTATGACCATAACCAGTAAATATATGGTCCAGTCAATTTTCTAGCCAAAATAAGTTAGGAACAATGTGTTACAAGGGGTAAAAAATTCACTACAAATGAAAAAGAAATCCCAAACAAACACTTTTCCCAAACACCAGAACTGCAATACTCTTCTCTCTGTCTCCTGAAGATGTCATCATGGTGTGTGATAGGCGCGTCGAGAAGAGTATTGCAGTTTTGGTAATTGGGAAAACTTGTTTTGGATTTATAAAAATCCAAGAAGTCATGGTGCTCAATTATTTTTCTGTTGTTTCTGTTTCATATAGAAAATGAACCTTTGTCATCATCAGTAGATCTTAGCCAAGTGCAAGGAATGAGTCTCTTTAAAAATAATAAGTTGCTCACCTCCACATTGGTTGTAAGGCATCCTCCTTTTGGTGACAATCTCCTAATTTTATCCAGAAAATACAATTATCAAAATATTTTCTCACAGTACTATCACTCAGTATTTCGTTTACCAAACAAGATTTTCCATAGCCCATCATGCCATGTATTACTAGTTTGGTCTTCCATTCTAGATTCAAAAATTTCCGTCTCACGTCTTCTACCTAGATGAAATGAAATCATGTATACAAATTGAAATTGAATTAGTGGAAAGGGTCGAATACCTTCAAAGAGTTATCATAGCAAACTTTGGATTAATCATGTATAGTTTATTTGTATACAGGACAACTTCATGACTATTTTCACTACATCATATATTTAAAAATTTCTTTTGCAATTTTTATTGTTGTTTTATTATTCCATGAGCATATCTGTAATTAAAATACAAATTTCTTGTTCTTCCCTTTCACATATCTTCTTTCAAAATATTTACATTATCAATTCTTCTTTTATATATTTATACACATAGTTATATCAAAATTCAAGAATAAAACATTCTTTTTTCCAATGAAGAAAATGGTTGAATTGATAGACTGTAATCAGTTGATGAAGAATATTTTTCAAATAAGATTGATCTGACGGAAAATCTTCAAGATTGTAAAATTGAGCAAATCGGTACATGTAACTGTACTTTTGATTTGTTATTTATTATCTGGATATTTCATTAAATTCAAGTGATCAAAGATAAATCCTGTTATCAATCCATACCTTCAAGTTTGAACCCATCTGAGAAAAATGTGACAGCATTTAGATAAAAATTTGAACATAAGTTAGTTGATTTATAGTTTCTTCTGTTTTATATTTCAGATAGTGGAATGGACATTAGGATATTTCAATAGTGAGCTCCTCATTTTTATTATTTACCAAAATTATTCAAACCTAAGGTTCCTTTTATACATATTTAACATGGATTTTATCACCAAGGCCAAATCTTCTTCCTATTTAGAAACCAATATTAGTAAATGGAAACACAATATCATCCTTTTCATTGAAAAAAAACAGATAATTCAACAATTCACATCTGAGCCGGATATAATTTCTACTCTAAAAAACTGAACAAAGATGGAACTCTGATTTTAAGTATCATTCATTAAAATTTATAAGAATGGTCCAGTAATATAGAAGTGATACTTTGTTGATATTTGTAAACATGGTACTTCTATGGCTCGAATTGAATCAAATAAGAGTATGAATGTCTTTATGTACTGTTATAGTGAATGAAATGTGTACTTCATCTTGTAATATTATCCAAACAGGTGCTGATGAAGTAATAAGACTTCTTCCGAAACTTCGAAGTATGCCATATAAGTGAAATTAAATACCGTAAAGCTTTCATGTATCATAATTGTTCTGCAGCAATCCTATGAATGATATTTTTCAGTTCCATTACGAATGTTTGGAGTGCAAACTGAATAGAAAAAAGTGATTTTCGTATAATTCAATGTTTTTTCAAGGGACTTTTTCTTTCAGTTTTCATCTGAAAGTAACTTCTATGCATCATCTACACACCTTTGCAGACAACGAGCTCATTTTGCTTTCTTTTTTCCTTTGGAAGTTTGCAACATTTTCTGTATCGAAATGGTTAACTTTCTTCAATGTTGAAAAAGTTATTAGGTGTTTAGTTACATTACTATTTAGGAAAATAAAATTTCAATGACAAAATTTCAATATTAAAGAAAGTCTGGCATATGTTTCTGGTAAACAATCATCTAGTACAAGTATCATCTAGTAGCTGTTGTTTTTATTATTGGTTTAGTAATGGTATATTTCTGATGACTTTTCCAATTATAGAGCCATCAGTTTATTGTCAAGTCTCTCTAAACTCATTGAAATGGACATCACTAATCAGCTCTCATCATTCTTGTGGAGTCAGAGACTGTTATCCAGAAATCAACGTCGATTCTATAAAAATATGAGCACAGAATCTGCTCTGTGTGATTTTCAAAAATGTCTTGTAGACAATCTTGATAAGGAAAAATATGCTCTGGGTCTTTTCATTGACTTTTCAAGAGCTTTCGATTTAGTTAATCATAGGCTTTTATGTAGTAAGTTAGAAACGTTTGGAGTTAGGAGATACCGCTAAAATTATTTGAATCATATTTAAATGGCAGAAATCAGGTTCTTTGACTGAATGGAGTTCTGAGTAGTTACCGTGAAATAAATCGAGGTGTACCCCAAGGATCTGTTTTGGGACCTTTATTGTTCAATATATTTGTAAATGATATAATTCGTCTGATGAAAAGAAACCACAATATAAAAATAGTGTGTTATGCAGATGATACCAATTTACTAATTTTTGAAAAAACAGACATGCAACTGAGTAAAACTGAGAAGATTTATGAAGATATCATTCATTGGTCTGAAAAGAATTGTCTGTTACTGAATCATAACAAAACAGTCACAGTATTTTTGGGCGCTCCAAACAAAGATCACTTATTCAAAAATACAGAAAAACAAATAACTTGTAGGGATGAGGTGAAACTTTTAGGAGTAATTTTCGACAAACATATGCAATGGGCCAGTCATATAGAACTATTGTCTAATAAACTGAGAAGTAGTTGCTACAGCATAAAGTATATGAAAGACCACTGCAGCAAAAATGTCTTGCTTACGCTGTACTTTGTACATTTTCACTCCCACATGAAGTATGGTATACTGAATTGGGGAAATAGTGCCGGTATGAATCGGATCTTCATTCTTCAAAAATACGCAATTCGAATTATGGAAAGTATTGATATGAGAACCAGTTGTCAATACTTTATAACTCTTGGTGTATTAACAGTTTATATATACTGGAAGTTTGCACTTATATCTATAAGAATAAAAATAAGTTTGCAATAGATAACAATCATTGTTACAACACCCGTCATAGAAATCTCTTGCAGCCTGATTTTCATCGCACATCTCTGTATCAAATAATTTTTTATTGTATTGGTTGTAAGCTCTATAATATTTTTGATGATCATATAAAATGCTCTACTCAATACATCTACTTCCAAAATTTCTGCTACAACAGTTGTCGGTTGATTGGTCAAACAACCAATACTGACATAAAAACTTGGCTAGTTGACTTGCTTGTTACACCAATAGGTGGTTCCACTTATGTCTCGCTTGTGTTTACGCAGTTATTTTTATCAAGTGCTTTCCTTTTATTCACGTTTTGTCTTTAATCAAGGACCACCTGCCCGGTACTGACGATGCTCAACAGGCTGAAAAAGCTGTCTACCGGTGGATCTTAAATTGAAATCAATGTGGGAATGATCAGAATAATACTTATCTATTCATCTTTTGATTTTCATGGAATTATTTTCCAGCAGCTTGACTACATTAACCCTTCTCGATTTTATATATAAGCACTGTGGCAACCAAAGTTGCTACAGTACATACAACAAGTTCAAATATTTGTAAGTTTCAACTATCATCTTTTTCAATTATCATTTAACTTATTCTCTTTTGCTGCTTTAGATATGGAAAACATTCACCATTTTATGACTATTCGAGATTATGAGATCTTAATTTGAATGATTAGTGAGTTGTTTTCATCTATAGCCTGAAGATGTATAGCTTTAAAACATAGTGATCTGTAGGAACTTGTTCTGTTATCTTCAGAGACTTTTATTGGCTTGCAATTAGTACAGTATTCAGGAGTACTTTGTTGCATACTTCTGTCATCTGAAATCAAGCAGGCTAAGCTAGTAGAACATTTCCCGTTGAAGTATCTGTAGAAAAAAGACCAGCAGCTTGACAGACTATCAATCAAATATAATTTCTGAATAAAATCTAACAGCATCAGGTGGATCTCCATATATGTAAAAAATATTTCATAAAAGTTCTAATTTGAGCTTTGTAACACAACAAAAGTTCTATGGTACTTACAACTTTCTAGTTTTAAGGGCCAACTGTTAACTGTCACATCATTCAATTATCATTTCACCTATTCTTTTCATTATTGGTTTGGTAATTTCCAACCTGCTTAAGATGAAGATGACTATTGTGTGGTTTGGTAACAGTAAATATCTCTTTTCATTATTTTTTGACTATTTAGATGATGAGATAATGGTTTGAATGATTAGCCAGTAGGTTGCATCTATAGTCTGAAGATGTATAGTTTTACAACATAGCGATTTATAGACTTTTTCTGCTTACTTCGGAGACTTGTATTGGCTTCAATAATTTTTAAACATAGATCTCAACATATGTAAGAGATTCTTTGAAGCTAATTTACACTTGATTTCTCCATATAAGTTTGCCACTGACTTCAAAGCATACCTTTTTCGCAACTACAAACCAGTTGTTCAACATACTTCTTTCAAGATTTTTTTTATTGGAAATCAATTCAGAAAACTTGAATTCTTCAATTTTTAATATTTTGCCTTACAAGCAAAGGTATGGCATTTTACGTGGATTTCTAACTATATAGAAATATTTTCAGGAACTTCAAATTGAATATTTGAACATAAATAACTATAAATAGCAATATATTTACCTACCAAATCGATCCACTCCTGATTGATATAAGCATGAAAAATACATTGATCAAGATAAGATATTTGAAACTGCATTATCAACACTATGAAATAAAAAAACATTATTCACTACTCTGCCTTTCTGATTGAATGCAGCAATATTATTTTTGTAATTGAATTTATTGTGATACTTACTAGAGATTGTCTAGGAATATAGTTTGGAGGCAATTTCGGAAAGCCACCTAATGCAACAGATACTCGATAAGCTCTTTCCTGTTCTTGAGTGTTTGCCTCTTCTGGATACTTATCTTTTAAATAATCAAAAACTGTTTCCAAATTTTCCTTGGAGTGAATAATTTCAAACAGTTCATGAATCCTAGCAGATTGTTTCTGAAACAAAAGAAAGATTACTTAAGTCTGATAATAAGCAGTCACATTCTCACCTTTTGCTGAACAACATAATAGTTTTCTTCAGATATTAATTTATTAGAATACAAAAAGTCTATGAAGTCTTCTACTTCTATAACTCTCTTGTATCCGTTTAGTTTTGAAAGTGTCTCTTCCATTTAGACTATGTCCAATATTCCTGCATTATTTTTATTACATTACTACTACATCTAGACAATTTTTATTTGTCTGATGTTATGACTAATACCACAGAAATCACAAATAAAGTATAAAATGAAAACAAAAGTTCAAAATTTGATCACAGAAGGTAATAAACTTCGTCACAGAACAGAGCAGAATGACGGTTTTCTGTTTTTGTTTGATACTTATTCACTATTTTGTTTCGCCCCTCTTCTTTATCCTTATCAGTATTTATCATATATCAATCAAAATAAATATGGATAACAAGGACAGCCTGTGTGAAGTCGAAGAAAATGAATATCGCCATCCTCAAAAAACTATTGCGCGTGCGTCAGAAAAAGCTTAATTTTGTATCAGACTTTTGTTTTTTTTATCACAACAAACCATCCTGGAAACAAAAAGTAAGTCTAAATTTTATTACAACTTATGAATTCTAAGAATTCCTGATCAAATTATTTGTTAAAAGAAAATAAATATTTCAAAATGGAATCTCGAAAAAATATTCATTTCTCCTAACGTACATACACAGTAGGTTCTGGTAACTGCCTGACAAAAAACAACTACTTCCCCGGCTGATACCACGCTGGGTATTGAATTATATCCTACAGACATGTATGCATGATACATAACAGAGATTATTCTTGCAGATGTATCTCGTCCATCCAGCAGCAATACCATGCTGAAATCAGTCGAGTGGAGTAATTATTTTTCGGCAGGCATTTACTGGAACTTAGTGTGTAGGTAAGTTGGGAGAGATGAATATTTAGAGATTTCGTTTAGAAATATATATTTTTTCATATATATGTATTTCTCCTCGATAGAGTCTTCAGACTTATTTGATTTCATTAGTTGATGTTAACTTCTTTATGTCAAAGGCATCTATTGCTATGGTAATTAGCCTCGTGTCCTGGCTGGGCAGTGTTAATGAATCTCCAAGCCACCTAAGGAGCATCATGACTTTAAACTCTCAAGTGAACTCTCATATCGAGAGAAAACTCGGATACCTCTCTTACTTTTTTATTTTCGAAACAAAGAGATATATCCGATTTTTGTCTCGATGGGAGAGTACACCAGATTTGAAAATGAAGCATCTGGTCTCAGTTAGACTTGAAACCATGATCTTCGGTTCGTAAGTAGAACGCAACGAACCCTGAGACGTATGTACTACAACATATTCATATAACAATGGTTGTACATGTTTCAGACGTTTCTTTATTGGCAACACTGATTTTTGACATAAATATGAATATGTGAAGAATTGTTATTACTGAGTTATGTGTAAAATTATTTTTTGTTTTGGTCTTAAAACCTTCATATCTAGTGCACGAAAATTTTGTTCGTCCTATGACGAACTTCAGCAAATAATAGTAAACGCATTGGCATCGTTGCGTACCTATAGATTGACTATCACTTGAAAAGAGGAGGCAATTTATGGTACAATGTTGGGTACACTCGTTGTAGCCAACATTGTAACATAAAACATTGTGACCTGTCTAGTACAGGATTTTTATTTCCATCAAATTTCACCAGGGTTCGTATACAGGGAGGGTTACGAAATAGAGTCTATTTGGACAAGAGAAAATCTGTTTTCCAATGACGTCACGTATTTGTTTAACCGAGTTCTTGAATGTAATAGAAATTTCTGATTATTTGCTTCAACCAATATAAATGCATTAAAGTTTTGATTAGACTAATAGATGAATCCATCGTTGGACTCATTGAAGAAATCATGAACTCGTTTGATATTTTACTAATTTCTTCATTGGTTATTTCTTTATTGATGATTTCTTCATTGATGAAAACGTTTTTTGTACTTTTAGAATTCAGTTATTTAACAACAATGACTGAAGTATGAAAATTTTCAAAGCACTTCCCGGTGATAAGTTTTGAGACAACTTTCAAGAAGCAACTTTTATATATTCTTTCTAAAAGAAGGCATTGGAAAAAATAGTTCATAACTTGGTTTGTTAAATCCCAGAGAAACTGATTCTTAACTTCTTTGTTTTGCAGGTGGCTAGGAAGAATATTCACCTTTACCGATTTATGGTAGACTGGTAAAGAAAACAATTATTGAATAAAGGTCGACCTCCGACATGCAAACCTGATTTTTGACAAAAAAGTTAATGGGGAAACTGAAAGAAGGTCTATTTCAAAACTGTGTCTAGTATGAGGCAAAGGTTTGAACAATTGTCAAAACTGATGTTGAAATAAAACAAATATCTAACGATTCGACTACAATCTTCTGGTGGAACACTTGGAAAAGTTATCTACCTGTATTACCTAAATGAGACAAGAATAGAACCAGGCCTAACTTGAACTGTTAATATATATGTATATATTGTGGAAACGAGTTTCTTTTCATTCTTATTGATCACCTTCACTTTAAGCTACTTTCTGGATAACTAATTTGGAACTACCGTTTTGAAAATTGAATGGAGTTAGTATGAAAATGAAAAATAGAAATAGTCAGTTGAGTAAAGATAAAAAAAATGGCAAAATAATACATAAATAATTTGCTAATACAGCAATTTATTATGACCTGAAACATATGAATTAGGAACATGGGGAGAACAGTTATAAAATGAAACAAAAGTTATAAACAATAAATAAAGTCAATATAGTTAGGAGTCAATTATTTCAAACTATGTTTCAAATGCTAGTGTAATTACAATAATTCCATTCTTGATTTTTATATTCTATTGTGTCATTATAGCTTTTCATTATTTTCAATTTCATTTTTTTTCTGCGAACCCACTCGAATGTTTCGAATTTCTAATTTTTGTTTTCAGTACTCCATGCATTTTCCCAATCTCAGGTTTTGAATTTATTATTTAAATCTCACCAAGCTCAAACATATCCTCAAACCATTATATTTTTGCATAATAGAAAAAATAAATAAATATAAGGACTAGAATAATGATGCAAGAATACTGTTGCAAATTATCCCTTGAAAAAATAACGCTGGCCGCCGCTAGTTTTCACCAATGGACTGTGACTTGGCCATGGTCCTAAATGGATAAACATTCTTGTAACCCTTTTTGTTGCTGCCAGTGAAGGTGAACCTTCTTTTCTACAGGTTCAGTAGTCTTTTTCCATTTCTGTTATTGCAAAACTGTAATAAAATATAAATTCAAAACAAGCACTTTTTCCCAATCACCAGAACTGCAATACTCTTCTCGACGCAAGTTTCACCAACCATATTGGCTACTAGGAATATATCTAATAATACTAGTTTTCTTTGTATAGACATCTAATTCAAGATCCTGGTTACATCGAATCACCAAGGCACTTAGGAATGGTAACTCGGTCCTCGTTGTTTTTAACTTAATTTAAGAACATAATATATCCATTCAAATATTTTTATTATGATTGAGTCGACAGATTCAAATATATGTTACATTTGTTTATGTGAGCAACAATCAAATCAAAATTTAGTTCACAAAAAGTATATTTAAGTTGACTATTATTTGATTTTACGTAAATTCCAGATCGGCACCTCAAAACAACTATTTTCATTTTGAATTGTCATCGCTTTTCTTAAAAATTGTTTCGGCCAATATTTTTTCTTCACATTCCTCATTTTCAGCAAACTTTTCTTCAGATTCTATATCTTGAACTCCAATGAATCCCAAACGATTTCTCAAAAGACATTTTTTGATGACTTGTAACTGAACATTAGATATATCAGTCTCACGAACGTCCAGCCATTCTAATGTCGTATTAATCCTCATTGCCTGGACGAGATACTGTAAATCATAGGAGGGAATCAAGAGAGTATTATTAATAATACAACAATAACAAAATATTGCATGGATATTATCGCCAAAGAAAATGAGGATTGAGTCTGGTATGAGGTTGTCGGGCTGAGACATATAAGTACACGGAGTGTCGAAAGCTAAGGATGTGTTTGAACTCTGATTTCAAAGAACTTATTCTCAGAAATTGAGATAAGGGGTATCGAGTATATCGTGTACGATAGTAGGAATGACAATAGATAGGAGCAATTTCTGACTGACTCTCTCTATGGTAATGGCTTTAGCTTCCATTCAGGCGTATTAAGCCAACCAGAAACGGTTGTTTGAAATTCTAGACGAAAATAAAATATTTTTATGCACGACTTCATCACTTCATCACCCGGATTTGCGGGCGTAAATTTGCACTTTAGCGCTGCTAAAGTGCTTCACTTATTTCTGGTGGAGTACAATTTACACTTTCTTCGTCGCTTGAATCCATTTAAAAATCACTAATGAATTATCTGTGATCACAAAAATTGACAGCAAATATGACTACTAGTCTATATAATCTTTCGAAAAATTGAATGAGTTGCCATGGTAACAATAATTCCCTCACTTTTTGATTTATTCTGTTTCGGATATGATATGAATATATACAGCCTCAACAGTCTTGATGTGTTTCTATCGTGTTCTGGATATAAACAGCGTGTAAGTAAGTAATAATACTTACACGCTGCGGTCTATAAAAACCTATTTTACGCCCTTGATACATAAATAACTATTTTGGCTGCATTATCGATCCGAGAGAAATCAGGTATTCTTCAAATTTTTCCCTCTTTAACTGCATTGAAGACTATGGCCTGATATTTCGTGTGGGAAATATGGATTGTGGTATATTAACAACTGTAGCTCAACTTAACAACTGCTCAATGGCCCTATCCTCCATGCGAAATGAGTGACCTAAGTATATGTGCCTTAGTCATCGGTGTATATATTTAGATTTAGACGTTCATTTTACAATTTGGGATTACTTACAGTAACTGTAATGATCCACAGACTGTACTCGGTCCAAGTAGGTATAGTCAAAAACGGTTGAATTATTTAGGTTTATAAGGTCACATAAGCGAAAATTATCGGAAATGATAAACCGTAAATGAAACTGCCGCTCTTGGTAGAATCAGACCAACTAAGTCCATCGAACACTTTCCGTAAAAGAGTACACAGAATAAAGCCTTGAAGTTCCTTAAAGTTCTTTCCAGACTAATAAGGATCTTTTTTGGGCATAATCCAGCGACCTAGGTTCAATTTGAGCTTCATAAAGCAGTAAAAGTTGCTGAGGAGTATAGAATCATCCCGTTCAATATATAATGTTCCAAGTTTCTGAGAAGTTTTTTTTGTATTTCAGTACCTAACGTAATTTTGCCAAAAGTGATATCCAATTTGACACCAACAAATTATATAATCGGTTCATACGAGTATAAGTGAAGTAGTTCACGTTAAAAGTGTAATGTGTATTTCAGTTTATCTATTGTGTATTCTTTCAAGCTGAACAAAACCAGGATTACAATGCCTTTACTAAACTTCAAATTAACAGAACTTCAAAATGAATACTTAATATCCACTTAAAAGTACAATTTTGTTATGTCAAACTAGAAATGACAGACATTACACTTTTCCTGTTACCTCTCCTCCTTCTTCACCGAACCAATTATTGCTGATATCCAGTTTCTTTAAACTCTCGTTCAATTTCAACATCTGGCCAACTTTGATGAGCGTATCTTCTTGAAAATGACACCCACTCATCGAAAGTTCTCTCGGTATGCTACACCGTACTAGTGCTCTCATTATCCCCATCGCTCCTTCAGTTTCCAATGGGTTGAGTCTCAGGTTTAGATGGACGAGTGGTGCGCAGCTTGAAAGCAATAAGGTGTATCCTTCAACCAAATAAAATTCATTTTCGTTTAATAATAATAATATTAATAATAATCTCTTTATTTACTCAGATTGATTTGCATAACCACAGGAGCAGAAGTACAAATGAAAAAGAGGAAAACGTCAATTTCCATATAACTACTCAATGTTCAAATTTATGAGTTACAGTCTGTCCAATTGAAATCTACTACATTCAGTTTGGAAACATTTAAATCAAATTATAATATGAATATCACAGTGTTTTGAGTTTGTTGAGGGATGATGCGTCAACGAGTTTGAATCATTCAACTTCAAATTCGAAGATTTTTAAAATCTTTGATTCGACTCTATCAGCCTTGTGAAATGTATAAATGACGTAAGCGAGAATGTCATATGGATCGCTCAGTTGAAAATTCTTGTGCCTTGTGGTCAGTACCACAAAGTACGGTCAGTACTTGTTAACAACCGGCTAAAGTTCCATGCACATTGCGACAGGACGGGAACATGACGTAAAGTTTCGTTTCTTTGTCTATAGTTTCCTATGAGGGGGCGTCCTGTACCGGCGATGCCGTTGCAGAGTAGGAAAAGAACTCTCCACCATGCGGTTATAGGAAGCAGGGGTCCCACAAGGTGGAGTCCTTTCGCCTCGGTATACACAGCAGACGTGTCCAAGCCTGAAAACAACTTCAACAAGTTGGCACTCTACGCGGACGACACAACTCTACTGGCGAAATCAACTAGCCATGCGCAAGTTACCAGATAATAACAATTGCAGGCGGACATATTAGAGGAATGGGCCAACCTTTGGAAGATCAGCATAAACCCTGACAAGAGTCAGGCAATACTGTTTACCCGAAGGATGGTACACCTTCAACGGACAAGAAATTCCGTGGACCAACGAAGCGAAATACATGGTTGTCACTGTCGACAGAAGACTAACGTTCAGGGCCCACGTACTGGCAAGAGCTGCACGACAAAACCTACATCCCATTATAGGTCGCAGAAGCAACACGGGACTCCACGTAATTAAAACTGCTGCTAATCAAGACCGTACTAGTCACAATCATTCTGTATGCCTGCACTGCCTGAGGCCAGTGCGCAGCGACATACAGACGTTCATGAACGGTTGTGTGCGAGCCGCCGTAAACGATCCGAGATACATACCAAATGGATACATATATGCCGGGACCTGGACCTGAACATACACTACTTAGACGCGTATATGAAAGAACACACAGAAAACGTGTTCGAAAGAGTTCAGTCACACAACAGTCCAGCGCTGCGTGATCTACACGAAGTACTCAACAGGAGAGACCCAAGATTCCAAGGAAGAGACAAACACAAGATGCCAACCAAGCAGAATCATAGACCACCCCCGAGAGTCGCTATCAGGCGGCCCCGGTAAGTATAAAAACTTTTTAACCAGATTTCAAATTCGATTCTTTTTCAGACTCATTCAGAAACACTTGTTCGCGATATGAAGACACTCGTCTCCGGTTATTTTTTGGGGCCCCATGCAATAATTACATTCAAGTAAAGTCAGGACTCAATAAAATACTAGATTAGAAAATAAAAGCACCTAAAGGCTGGCTGTCGACCGCAGTAGGTCAGATGTCAATCTTGCTGAAGTGCCCATCAGTAAGTTGAAGACCGCTCCGGAGGAGCGGGAATGGACGGACGAGATCGGATGTTCTGCACACAGTAACCGTGAGGGGAAGATTTCAATTCAGGGCACCCAACCCCGGAGGGGGCATGTGGGGAGGAGGACGTCCTGTTCCTGTCCTGGCATGTACCACATGTACCTGTCCGTTGCCGAGGTGTCCTCTGCCGTTGCCTGTCTAAGTGCGCGATTGTTTTTATAACTGGAATTGGAAGTAATTGTTCTATTATTGTCGATATGGAGTGGACTGTATTATTATTGATAATTAATTATGATTGTATTCGGGTTTTTCTTAGTGTTCCATGAGTGGTGATGGCGTTTGGAAGAAGTAATTTGATTTCAAGGTTGAATGAAATTCAAATTGTAGGCTACTTGATGTGATTGAATTGGCTCTATCTGTACCGTTATTGTGAGCTTTTCACTAGACAGTTTACAAAACCTCAAGACGTGTTTCGTTACCTATAGCTTATGAAAACGCTTGATGAAGCTATTGTATAGCGAAACACGTGTTTCACTTTTATAAACTGACTGACTGAGTGTTACTCAAATATTGTAGGCTATTTTCAAATGTTATTTCTATTTGAGACATCTCAGGACCACATCAATTGAATTTTGCTCAAAGCCATCTTAGGGAACTGAATAAACTGCTGTTGGCCAATCAGCCTTTTCGTCAGTACGATACAGCCTTATGTAAAGGATAAACAATAATTAGTTTGGAAAAAAGGATCAAAACAAAACGAATTAATCATCAGGAGCCAACGGCGTGGCATCATTGGAAGACCTTGTTTAATCAAAGATAACTCCCAACAAGTCACGGGTGCATTCACCATTGGTATTGATGAAGTTCATAAAGTACTCAGAATAAAGTAGTGAAGTGAGTTGTATACCTATGTGTTCGGCCTTTTTATTCAAGTTTATCAATCCAGTGGTCTCAACCATACAGGGTCTTTCACGACGAGCGTTCGTTAGGAATATATAGAGAATAATTCAAAATAAAAACTTGAAATTTTGTGGTAGTGGGTTTTACAAAATGGCCTTCTCAACTGAAATATTTTCAACTTCCGGTATCTTTCCTTTATACTTAAAGTTGAGGGCAACTTCCTTATTTCAAATGGAACACCCTGTATTTGATTACATTTTTGAATTTCTCAGCACATTTTAGGCCCACTTTGTATAACAATGCCTATACCCAAATTTGTTAGTTTTCGAGATATTAAATTTTTTTTGAAAAATTTGACAGCTACAGCACCACTCCGAAAAAATCATATCTCATAGACAGTAACAGTTGAAAATGTGAAATTTCATAGAATCACACCTTTAGCATCAAGTCATGAACAGGTCCATCGAATTTTCGAAAATAATTTACAGGGTGGACAAAATTTCCACCTAAAATATAACATCAAGAAAACTAATGAAACACAATATTTTCAAATGAAAACCATACACTATTCTATTATTTTTGGATACTACAAAAAAAAAGATATCAAATTCATATATTGTTGTTCATGTTTTGTATCGTAATGCCTTTTAATGTTATATTTTTTTAATGTCCACCTAGTCTGTGAGCATATTGAGCATACCAGCTTCATCTTTGACGAATGTGAAAAAATAATCAAATTTCCACTTTTCTTGGAAATGCCTGGTCCTGTGCTCGTCCGCAACCTCTCGTTTTTTTATTTGCTTTTCCGACATGTTATGTTTTTTTCCATTAATCAGCTGTCGCACCCCTGCGAACGACATTCCCCAGAAGTCGAAACTTATGCCAGCTACCTTTTAACGTGTGATTCCTAACAAGGGTTGGACGATAGCAAGTGAAAATCGATCTTCCAGCCTGCAGCTTAAACCACCGACCAACACGGTGGTCGATTTAAGTGAGTGAATAAAGTACCCACGTCGAACCGATCGGCTACCGACCGACATGCTATTAAGGATTAAAACATTGAAAATTGCTAAAATTGTTTGAACAAGTTGCCGACAAGTGATTAACTCTTAACAACAAATTGTTTCGGTTCAATATTTGTTACTACCATTTTATTATACCTGATTTTATAATAATATGTTGATGGGAGAAAGTCGATAGAATGAATTCAATTTCAGAAATGCTTGGCGGGCCGCATAAACATTTTTAACGGGTTGCAAGCTGGCCGCCTGTTGCTCATCCCTGCCTACTACTGCTACTACTACTGGGGTACTTTTGGTAATTCTACCAATGTCAGTTTAATAAATGATATGTAAGGAAGGTTTCCGGTATTGTATAGTATTATAACAAAGTGAATTCATAATAATTACCAAGACCTTCTGCACCAATTTTTCCGATAAGGTTATTGGACAGATTCAATATTTTTATAAAAGGGTGGACTTGAAGGAATTTAGCCACACAAAGAGCTCCTTTGTCGCCTATTTGGCAATTTGACAGGTCTAGTTCTACTATTGATCTGTTTTTAATAAGGTTCTGCATCAAAGCTTGACAGTGCTTGTACTCGACTTTACTTCTATGAATGCGCAAAATTCTCAGATTCCTCAACTCCAGTAATGCCTTTCCGAGTGTTTGGCAATCTTTAACTGTTACTTCGAACATGTTCCACTTGTAATCTTCAGTTACATTGTTCATACCTTCGACAAAATTGAGTGATAAAAACTCAAAATGATAAATTTTAATTTTCTCACTGACCAAAAACCAAATCAAATTCGACGATATCTGGTAATTTTCTGAGAATAGGATTGAAATTGATATGATTAAGAGGGTACACCTCTGGGATATCGTCCTTATCCATCGTCAGTGGAGGTTTCCATGCTTGGAGTTGACTAACCACCAATCTACGAATATATGGCGAACACAATTCCAAAATTTCTCCAATATTTTCTTCATCTGAATACTGAGGTTGAGCTTCTTCTATCACTTTCTGGATATGATTTTCCAAATAGAGGGTTTTCCACTTCCAGTCCGACGGTTTCCTCCTCAGAATCAAATGAAAATGTGTTTCATATCTCCGTTTCCAATAGTACTCATCCTACGACATAATAACTTCAATCATATCTACAGAATAACGTACGCTTGAATGTTATATTCACATCTATTATCGGAATAGCTAGTTCGAGAGGTAAATCTGGAGAAATGATTTCCAGAATATGATCTTTATCTTCACAAGGAAGTTCACAGAATAAAGGTTTCTTTTCAAAATTCTTGCCAATGCATTGAATGCTCAAGTCCACCAAAGTAGGACAGTGATTTTTATTCCACTGAAAGTCTTCAGAAATAATCTGCCTTTCCGTTTCTCCTATCAGATCTGTGGTTTCTGGCGAAGGGCTATACTCAGCAAGAGTGTTTGGATTAATGGAATGTGGAATCCTCATCTTCAACAAACTATCGATATATTTGTACCCGTTCAGCAAAGCAATATAGAAATTTAACAATTCTAGAAAATCTTTGAAATCAGTTTTGAGAGACTAAATGTCATATTGACGACACAAAAAAATCATTGAAGACATGTTGTTTCGGTTTCGAATGTTTTCCACTTCCGGACACATATCTCTTACAATTTTGGAAAACTGGTAATTTTATCATAAAAAATTAAATCGGACACGGCGAGTGGAATTATATGCCTCTTATGAACACTACTGTTTCCAATAAATTTAAAATAATAATTGGGGGAAACATTCATCTTTTGATACTTTTTTTAAAGAAAAATCACAGAAAATACCTTGACCACAAAACTCATAAAAACATTATTTTCTATAATGTAAGAAAAATATGGAATGGATGGCATAAGTGATGTAAAGAATCAATGAATAATAAAATAAAATTATTTTAATGAGTACATTGATACAGGTTTTTCCAAAAATATATGCGTTATATCTAAATTTCCCTGTAATGTTAGAAGACATATCATAATAGCATTGCTCAACACCAACCCATCTGCATCGCTTAACTTTTTTCCAAATTATAATTTCTTGTCCATTCAGCTTATAACTAAATAATGTAGTTGAGCCACCAAAAGTTGTTTAGCAAAATTTTGTTCCGGAGATTTTAGTCTCGAAGAGAAGCCCCGAAGTGGTCAATCTACAGTATTCCAGGACGAAGATTTACGGACCCTGGTGGAGACTGACCCATCACAAACGGTGCGTGTGTTGGCAGAAGAATTGGGTGTCAGCTTCCATGAAGTTTTTGAAGGTTTGAAACGCATTGGAAAGGTTAAAAAGCTCGAAAAATGGGTGCCCCACGATCTGAACGATGGACAGAAATAGTCACGTTTCGAGGACTGTTCTTCTTTGGTTTTGCGTAAACAAAACGGTTTTTTATCGGATCGTCATGTGTGATGAAAAGTGGATCGTCTACGACAACAGGAGATGTTCAGGACATTGGTTGAACACCAATGAGCCACCCAGGCATTTCCCAGAGGCAAAAACTCACAAAAAAAAAGACCATGGTCACTGTATGCTAGTCAGCGGCTTATTTTATTCACTATAACTTTCTGCAACCGGATCAAACCATCACAGCAAAGTCCTATATTGTGAGGAAATCGAATTGCATCAGCAGCAGCCGGCACTGGTCAACAGAAGAGAACCGATTCTACTCTCTACGACGACAATCCCGTCCGCTCATTTCACAAATCATTGTACATAAAGTAAACGAATTGAGCGTCGAAGTTCTGCCTCAACCACCATACTCTTGCCACCCGACTACCATACTTTCAAACACTTCGATAACTTTCTCACCAGTAGAACCTTCGCTAATCAGAATCAGGCAAAAACGGCCCTTGTTGACTTCATCGAATCCCGAACAGACAATTTTTGTGCTGACGGAAATGATCGACTCTTGTTACGTTGGTAAAAATGCACTGATTCGAATGGCGCTTATTTTGATCAAATTCAATAATTAGTATTTACTGATATATTACAGTTTAAATTGAAGTAACTGTGAAATATATGTATTTCTGTTACATATTCTTTCTTTATTCACCTGGATTCCTCTACTATATTCCGAGGTAATAGTTCTAGGGTGTGTAATGCTCTGTCGTTACTCTTGACTGAGAAAAGTTATCAACCTGTGTTATACCTATACATTTCACTAATTTCCTAAAACTAGCTAGAACAGATGAGGATAACGAAGTTCCCAGGTGTGTCCCACTTTTACTTCTATCTTAATAAATCTATCACTATTGGATATTTTTTATTACATATGTTGTTACGCCTAAATACAATCTATTACGTTTCCATAAAAGACCAATATCGATATATCAGATAAAGATTTTATTGGGAGCATATATGTCTTTTCTGAGTTAGCTTCTCCGTTTATGTCATTAATGTCAGTTGTCATATTAATTGTTCACACCGTGAGCGTCTTTTTTGACCTTGACTGCCCTGGGCTCTCCATTGGGACGATAGGGCTTTCGTTTCGATGTCATAACCATCTACCCATGATTCGTTATCAGTTATAACCCATTTAAGCAAATCTGGATTACCGTTGACGGTTTTTTTTGACAAAATTCAACACACGCTATACATGTTCAAAATTTCCAAAACACTTCTAAGTGAACGTGCTAAACAGCTGAGACTGTGAACATATGTTCGAGACGAGTGCACCACCATAAAAAATAAAAATCGCTAATCAAATGTACGTAACCCGTGAAATTTGAACATTTACCTTATTTCTTGAACAAACCTCGAATGATACTATTTAGGAGTGAATTTTAGCCCTCCGCTCTTTGAAGGGGATGTACAAAAAGTTATCTGTGAAATTTCACAAGTTTATTCATGACATAAAAAGTATCAATTACAACTTTTACTCTGTACGCCACTGAACGTTCGGAAGTATTCGAAAATTTTGACCGCTAACATTAGCAGCCAACTTCACACTGGTCATATACAGTATACTTGAGTAGATAGTTGCGACACAGAATAGTAAACAATTGACATAGTACAGTTTTGGTACAGTCACAGATTTAGTTGATTGTATCATGTGCGGTTAGGGAGGGTGATAAGTTTTAGCCTAATATTTTATTAATATTTATTAAGTATGTGAACTGATATAAAAAAGTGAAAATGTGGACTATGAATATTTATAAAGTGTTTTATGTTGTGGCTCACGCTATCTTTACAATTTTTGAAACGATTTATGGGACAACAAATCATTTCTATGATAAACTATTTCTTAAGGAGCTTTTACCTTTTAAGGGCTATTATTTGCCGAGTGATTCCAACATACCGGTTAAAAAACCCAAACATATTACAGTACTTCTCGGTCTTGAAGAGCCGGACATCAAAGACTTGGCCAAACTCATTTTCTGGTGCATAACCACTCAAATATCTTTTATCAGTTTTTATGATTACAAAGGTTAATTTGGTGCCAAATAAATTACTATTTTTTGTTGAAGTGTTGTGTTTCAGGTAACTTAAAAAAACATGAGCAAGATTTGCAGTATGAAGTCAGTTTGTATAGGCACAAAGATCACCACATTGTCTGGCACAGTAATCCTAAAACTGTTCATAAAAATGGGTTTGTAGGAAAAACAACCCACGTCAAAATATTAACAGACTTTGAGGGTAAAGGGAGTGTTGTGAACCTTACAAAGCAGATAGTTTCATCAAGAAGTAAGGTGGATATTAGTGTATGTTCAGTTAATGAAACTCTATTAAAACTGTTTGAATTTCCTGATCCTGATATGGGGATAGTTTGCGGCAAAACATTCAGGTTTTTCAATTATCCTCCATGGCAGATTAGACTAACTGAATTTTTCAGACTGGAAACTATCCGAGGTATTAGGTTTCCACAATTTTCAAAACTTCTAAGGAAGTTCAGTAAATGTGAGCAAAGATTAGGTAAATAATTGTAAATGAAAATAAAATATTGCATCATCCTATTTGTACTTGATTAGTCCTAACATCTGCACCTAAACAATTATGTTTCACAATTCTGTTCAGATATGAATAAAATGGTTGAGAAAATTGTAAAGTTACAAGAACTTATTAGGGTTGAAGGTAATCAAGCCAGAAAATTTTGCTAAAACTTTCATATGTCAATTTGTCAAAAAACAAATGTTATTAATCATATCAAAGGCCTTTCGAAAATATCTCATTTTATTTTGAATATCATATCTAATACACCAGACTTATTGCACATCATATAAAAGACAACCATTTCACAATGTTCATTTCCTAACCATTAGTTCAATCATATTTGGAATATTGGCCTGCTGATTTTTATGTGGATTTTCAAAAGTATGGAAGAAAAGATGTATATAAATTATGAAATCTTTTTGTCATTATTTTTATATTGATAACTGATTCACCACTTTAAACAATTCTTTCTCTTCTGAAAATTGAGGACAGTTTGCTGATATACTCAACTCAATTATTTTAAGTTTTGTTTATTACCGAATTGAGTTTTTTTATTCAAGCAATAGTATGAAATCATAGTTTTCAAATTGATTTTTTCCTCATATAAAAAAAAGTTATAACTTAATGACATATTTTTTCAGAATCTTACATTAGGATATTTTGCTCTAGTCAATTATCTACTGAAGCTGAAGTCACACCAGAGATATTCAATATTTAAAGAATATAACTACTGATTTGACTTCAATTTTCTTTGGAAAATGAATTGGTAAAAAACGTAAGAAGACAATAAAACAATATAAAAATTATTAACAATATAATATATCATCAATATATCAATATTTTTACAAATGAGATACTAAAACACCCATTTTTGAATTTTACATTTTCACTCATTTCTCTGAAACGTGAAATTAAGATTAAGAGAAAATGCTTGTTGAAGAAAATATGTCATATATGTAGGATCAGTAGAAATGGTATGGTCCTTTAGGAGCTATATGGTCTTAGCTTCTTATTTAGAACTTTTTTGACATAATGTGAAAAATAATACTACCTATATTATTAGGCATCTTATCAATAATGCACTAGTTTCAATTTTTTAAACTAAATGCAGTGCAACTAAATCATTGAATTTCCAACAACCAGGTATCTAGGTTACAAAATCAGAAAAAACACTGGAAATTCAAAAACAGAAAATAATGTGAATAATAAATAAAGATAGCCACTCTCATCAATATTCATAGAGGCATAGAAAAGTGAAAAAAAAATACAAAAAAAAATGATAAAATACTAATTTCAGTTTTTAGTTTATAGTTAACATTGTAAACAGAGCCAACATGATATATCACTAACCAAGATTATTTTGATTTCGATGGTTTACTGAATACCTAACTTTGTATTTTACTAAATTTTATTTGAACCCGTAATTCTACCAATGACTTTAAACACTGAAGTTTGTTAAATTTGGATTCAAAACCCTAAAATTTATAAATTCCGACTTCATTGGGCATTTTTCTCAAAAATATATCACTTCTATTTTATAAATATTTATTGAGAAGATAACACAACTCTTGAAATTTCTGAGAATATCTTAAAAAATGTGCTCATGTACCAATAATACAACAGTTACTGAAATACACCAGAGATATTATAAAGTCCCTCAATCTAGAAAGTGCTTATGAAATGTTTCTGCTTTTAAGCCTGTGACAGTCCCAACAAACTTTTAACTTCAATATTCTCAAATCCACCGTGTCATATCAGGTGCACAAAACTTTACTTTGCAGAAGAGAATACATGTGGAACTGTTTTTTTTTCAACTGAGCAGATCCATTATATCATCATTGGACAACCCTCCTTGTTTATTATTGACATTATTACTAGGAATCAGTGGAACATTATAAGATGCCATACTGTTCTTTGGCGTATTAGCACTGTTACTACTTGGCAGAAGATTGTCGAGAGCACTCCAATCTGGTGAATTGTTTTTCTTATATGTTGAGGAACCCTGGCTGTTCGCCCACGGATTGGGAAAGTCATATATTGTGGAGGTAATCTGATTGTTGAAACCTGGGGATGTCCTAATAGGATTCCTATTTGTATCTGATCCTTGGGGATGTTGGATTGTATTCATGAACAAATTGGTGTTTTGCATCATGTTGGGACCGAAACTATTTTGTGTCGACATCTGTGAGTTATTCCACTGATTGAAGCCAATTCCAGTAGTAGAAGTATTGGACACAGTTGTAGGAACTTGTGGGTTGAACGTATTTTGTGAATTAGTCCAATCACCACCAAGTGAAAAAGGAAGATTTTTAGGAACAGCCGCAGTTGTTGGTATGGCTTTGACACGTTCAATAACTGTCTGATTAGTAAAAGCCTGCACTTCTGTTTTCTGCTTGATGTTCATGCCTGGGACAAAACTATCTAAACCAAGACCAGAGAAGGCTTTATCAAGCTCCACTGGTTCTTTACTTGTTACGACTGGTATACTACTAGCCAATACCTTCTGCTCATCTTTCACAGAATTCAATTGTTCCAATTTTGTTCTGTGCTCCGTTTCAACAATTTGAAACATTTCTTTAACCAAGGATGTCATAGCATTGAATTGTGGAATTGTTAAACCACTTTCAATGCATAAAGGTATTAGAAACGGTAGGACTCTAGAAGCTATAATTTCTTTCGTGATCCCTAGTTTCTTGTGATTCAATGCCAATTTATATATACCAAGAATTCCCATCAGCACAGCCGGCTCTCTAGATGGAATTTGTGGTAAGAAAGGAAGAACTTCATCGATTACCAACCACTTGTCTAAATTCTCCAAAAGTCGACCTATGCATAAAAGACTGTTTACTCTGACTGACAAAGTTGAAGTATTCAGGCATATCTTTTTTATTCGCGGCAAGAGACAATTTTTGACGTTGGAATGATCCAATAAACCAGCAAAGGTCGGTAGAACTGCTAAACACAATTCATGGATTTGTGGAGTTCCAGAATCAAGTCCTCTGTACAGCATGGGAAGAACATGCTGCTGGATATCTTCAGCTGGAGTTAACTTCAATAACAGTTCCATCCTTTGCAACATAATTAGAAGAATCTGTGAAAAAGGAAAAGAAACATTTCCTACTAATACAGTAAATCCAACTTTCAAATAAATTACCTGAACAGGTTCCATCAATTTCATCAAAGGCTTGATATGAGGTAATATATAAGTGCAATACTCTTGTTTGTTGCAATCTTGAGCGATATCAAATAAATTGGGCAAGATGAAAGGCACCATTGCTGGTTGTCCCAAATCATGTACCAAACAGGCTAGTACCCTTTGTACTTTGACACGATGGGGAAGTTTGGTGAGAGCTTCTGGCAAACCTTTATAGAACTGTGATTTCTGGAGATTATCCCATTGTAGTAGAGAGTCAAGATAAGTGAGTGTTTTTATGCCAACATCATCGAAAAAAGGAATCTGAAAAAAAGTACCTAATTCAAGTGAGAATATTTTTTGAGAGACTGGATAAAACTTTTTTCTTTGTTTTCTGATAGGAAACTGTATATACAATTGATCAATATTATTTAAATTGAAAGAATATTTTCAAGAGAGATTTATTTTTGGGAAAGGAAGTTTTTGGCATTCAACTTTTTCCATCTTAAAAAAAAATATGGAAGAAAGCAATTTACTCCAAAATGAACTCTTTACAAATTGTGTACATTATGCAAAGAAGTAACTTTCAGACACAAACTGGAATAAAAAGCCCTCTCGAAACAACTACTTTCATAAAAACGTTTTGAAATGAGTTGCTTTCTTTCTTTCTTTGGAAGATTTCCATATTTTTTTATGAAGATGGAGAAGTAGAATGCCAAAACCTTTCTTTCCCAAAAATTAATATTTGTTTCGAGAAAAATTGGAAAATTTTGAATGAAAACAAAGTTATATGTCAAATGAATAAATGCATGGAGAGCATGTAATGGTGAAAAGAAGATGGATATTTTACATTATCGCCAAAATTTTATGAAAAAAAAAAAACATTTTTTGACTTCAGAATGGCCCTGTTGACATTGCTGCCAAACACTGACTTCAGATTTGTGTGTTCAGTATACAGAAAAGTAGGTAACAAAAAAGTTTGCAAATTCAAGACGAACATCTCAATTATTTTATCAAAATGATATTTTGAAAATATGTAACAACTGAATGGCAGAAATTATTCATAAAACTTCAACATTGGACATTTATTTCCTTGCTTTCATTCTTTAGATGTTTTCTCTATTTTATGAGGTGAGAAACTTAAACAAATTGTCCTATGTTGCCGGGTTTATTAGCCGTGGGCTGCATGTTTATATACCCATTTTGTCTGCTACTGCGACAGACACTATTAAAAGTGATGCGGCAATGGTCAGTGATCTACCTTGCTGAGATACGCAAACTGAAAATAGGTCTGATGCGTTTGTACTTATAATGGATTAGGTGTCAGATGACCGATTGCTATTGTACCTGATTGGTTCATCTCTTCTTCAATTAGTGGGAGAATCTTTGTGTTATGCCGGTATCCATCTTCTATTGATGTTTGAGCATCACAGCAAGGTAGAGCACTCTAACCCTTGCCGCATTGCCTTTGATAATGTCTGCTGCAGTAGCAGATGAAACTTCAGGTATAAAAACCTACAGACCACGCTAATAAACCCGAAAACATCAAACAATTTGATAGACACTGGCCTTGAAAGCCTACACACCATTATAACTTTAGAAAATGACAAACCTTCAAGAAGTGATATGTATCAAGCCTGATTTCTGGAGTAACATTCAACAATGACTTCACCGAGTTTCTCAGTTCTTCAGGAACACATTGTAATGCTCCGAGATTTAGTTTTTCGAGTTCCTGTACCCTGGATTTGTATTGGTGTAAATCTCTAACAGGTCGAATACATTTTTTTTCTATGGAATATAAAGCATATGCTAGCATTCCTAACGAGAACATATCACTAGCTGGGGAATGCTTCAATTTTGTAATACATTCAGGAGCCAAATAGTCCAAATTAGGCTGACAAACCGAAGGAATTGTTGGGTTATATTCCTCAAAAGGATAGAAAGGTTCTAAATTTGAAGGGCTAGTGTTGTGGACAGAGAAGTCAAAACCAAATATTTTCCAAGCACCTTGAGCACTGATTATTATGCACTCTGGGCTGATGTTTTTGTGTAATAGTTTCATATCATTGTGCAGAAATGCTAAACCATCGCCGACCTGCAACAGCCCATACTTGATTTCAATATCAAATAACTTATAATCCGAGATGTTAGCTGGTTGGGGCATATTTGTAGTTTGTCCCAAAATATTTGCCAAACTAATTAAGACTGGTTCCGTTGCGAATGCTAAACTGTCTCTACTCTCTTCTAATGGGTGTTGAATAGTGAGTAACTTGGGATGGCGAATTTTGGTAAGCTGAACTATTCCCCTTCGTAAAGTTTCCAAAAGTAGTTCTCTGTCACTTTTATTATATTTTTCCAGTTGCCTCTTCTCGAATACAAATATTGAGGCTTCTTGTTTTGTAGATCGTTTACTGCCACTGTAAATTTTCCACAATAAACCTGAAAAACCATAAATTTAACAATTGATACAATAATATAAACAATTTGATGGTACCTGGTCCTGCAGATGCAATATGAGCAGATGATTCATATTCTCTCGTAACTGGATTTCCGGGAAGAACGCCAGATATTTGCGAAACTGTTATACTAACTGAGCTAGATACTTGTGAAAAAACTTTATTGAACATATCCATGTCCACAAATGGTTCAAAGTAAAATAAATAGATGAATAATTTTTACTTATCCATCAAAACCATTATCCACTCTCCATCACTGAACTTAAAGTTAACTACACTATCCAACTATCTATTCTTTGCCACTGTACTATTATTTGTATTTTTTATTTTAGGCGAGTTCTTAAAAATTCGACTTTGCATATTGGATTAGTTCAGGATTGCCATTCGATAGTTTATTTTCGTAGTGTTTTTCATTGGAAAAACCAGAACAAATTCAGTGTATCTATGTGGTAAATTTCTTAATATATTATCACAGTATTCCGTATACTTATGAAATACTATGATATTAATAGAGGATAAACATATACTGAATGTGTACTAGTTTCAGTAATAGAGAACGCTATAAGTAATTTAGTAATAAAAATTCAGTGATATTGTATAATAAATATATTGAAACGCTTTTACAAAAATATTCGCCTATCCTTTTGTTAAACGGAAATAATCAAAATTACAACCAGAACATGAAATTGTATTCGAATAATTCATTGTGAGATTTCCACTGGACACTTTACAAAAAAGCAACACGTGTTTCATGATTTCTCAAGCGTATTCATATGCTAATTTGCATTTGGCTTTGACGGTTACGTAAAGTGTGAAGATCTGCATCTTCATTTCATGTTTCATTATAATGATTGGAACATCTTCACTTTAGCTATCACAAAATACTATTCATTATCGATAACCGGTTTTCTTTACTAATCTACCATAAATCAGTAAAGGTGCCATCATTATACGAGGAGCAAACTGATTTTTCCTATGTATAGTTAATATATAGAAGTTGCTCTTTGAAATTTGAAAAACTATGCTATACTTTAATATTATATGCATACTGCATGTGTATATATGCATAGTGTTACAATAATCAAAAGGGTAAATACTGTGTGAATTTCGAAGTGGACAAAAAAAGGTTTACATCTTGTTTTCTTTACAATACATTTTTTGTTATAAAAACTTATAATTTTTTGGAGAATCGCCTCCTGCTCGAAATGTCTGGATTTTTTTATTCCGAGTCTCACGATAGCACATATCATTCGAGTACCTTCTTTGTGGACGGGCTTTACTGGCACGTTGATTATCAAATGTCAAACTTTTGTCAATGAATATTCTTAGAAATTACATCCATCTAAATTGTCATGTCATCAGAAATAAAAAAACTGATAGAAATCTTTCAACCAAAGGTCAAATAAGCGCTCGAAAGCGCTTTGCTCTGTGAGTTTTGGATACTATAATTAATGTCACAAATCTCATAATATAACATAATCATTAATTAAATCCCCGGATTTTTGTATGCGCCTCAATTATTTTTATGTAAATCTATAACTTTTTTCTGTAAACTAGTACTTTTTCGTGTATTCACCTATTACCTGAACAACTTTGTATGGTAGCCAACCACACATCAACAAATGTCTCTGTCTCTTCCTCTTTATTTCTCCTTTTACGTCAAATGTTATTTACGTCAAATGTTTGGACACAGCATACCTAACAATTGGATCGCTTGGAAAATAAGTAATATAAAAGCATAGGATACTGGAGTGAGGTCAAAGATGATCATTGAAAATTCCCTCATAATTTGAAAGTTTGAAATTTGATCAGAAAGGAGTTTCAAATACTTAACTGTGGGAAAAATGAAACAAAAAAGAAATAAGTATGAGCATCATACGAAAATAACTTTGATGTGCCGTATTTGTTTAACACAAAGTAATAATGTAATGTATAAATTAGAGGAAGAATTCGAAATTCAAGATGCATTGATGTCTTATTTGGAAGCACTGGAGTATGTCACAACTTCAAAAGTGAGTATATGAGATGGTGTTTTCAAAATGTTCATATATAGCCATAAAAAATTGGATAGATAGTAATTTTATAAGTTTCAGATTGTTGTCAATGGAGACTACCCAGAAAATATTTGTCCTGTGTGTGCCAGTGTTCTCAAAATGGCCTTTGAGTTTATTAAGCAGTTCAAAGAATCACAACTAGAACTCAGAAAACGGTTCAATCATGATTTAAGTGAACCAGAATTTGACGGAAGTGTGAAAAGAGAAAAAGAAGATAACACTCCAAATGTAGAGTTAATTTTTCAGAATAACAAATTCAATATAAACGATTTACTAGTCGTAGAAAAACAAGAAACAGAGAATTGCACTTTTGAGGGGTTTTTAGGGAACCTTGGAAAAGAAGTAACAGCCACCTTTGTTGAAAATTTGGAGAGTAAAAATTGCAACAATATAGTGAAAGACATCATTTCAGTTTCAGTAATTGGTAAAGACCGGATTATACCTGTTAGTCAACTTCAGATTGATGAAGATGCCAATGTGATAGAATATGTTTTAGATGAAAACTCCATAAATCATGCATCTATTGAGGAAAATTCGACCAATGGAGATAGCTTGTCTGAACAATCGGAAAGTATAGAAATAAATATGAACGATGAAAGCTTATATGAAAATAAAAATATTGAATTTATTGTTAGTGATATTCCAGAACAAGACACAATTGAATCCCTTATAATTGATAGAACTGAGATAACAGATGATAATAGTGCAACTGAGAATACATGTAACAATGGAGCTCCAAGACGTAAAAAAGTTGTTAAAGTTGGTAAGAGACGAAAAAAAACAATAATGAAGGAGATCGAGGATGAATTTGAAAAAGAAATCAAATTTATATGTGAAATTTGTCAAAGTATTTTTCAAACTAGAAAAAGCTTGAAAGCTCACAAAAGAGTGCATTTTCCCAAAGAAGAAACTTTTACTTGTGAGATTTGCGGCTACTTATGTAAAACAAGATCAGGTAAGATATATTTATTGCTTTTCAGTTTCATTATTATGAACATTTACAGTGCAGATGCATATACAGTGTATCAAAAATTTTATACAGAACTATCATTTATCACCCTGAACAAATGTTCTCAGTACCATTTTGAGATAATATCATGAACAAAGGGATACATTGCCTGAAAATTAAATGGTTTTTGCTTTACCATCAAGGCCGACATGTTTTTCAAAAACTGAATATATTCCTCAAACTCATTTCTTATCAAGCAAAGCTTACCCCACAATCTTAAAATGAAATTCAAAAGTTTTTAGTCTATGGTAATTTGAACATCAATCCTGGAACTCGCCTCTGGATCGTTTGTTAAAAATCATTCTTTTTCACAGCATTTGCTTCAACAATGTATCTTAAACTATGCATAAGCACCATCACAAAAGCACGTGACAGATTGGTTGGAAAAGTGGAAAGTGTTCCTCATTTCAATTTCAATAAAAAATTTCTGATTGCTTCTGCACTTATGTTATTTTCTTTATTAATTTTTTATCAACTCTGAACATTGGAAGTTTGAAAATGTCCTACGTATTTTTACTCAAGAACATTGATGATTTTCACAAGTAAATTAATATATTCATATGAATTCATCAATTATCAAGTTTAAATTCTATAATTTATTTAAAGAACTAAAGATAGATCGGTTTTACAACATCAATGTTTTATGCTGAAAAACATGCATGTTTGAAGGTCGATACTAAAAGTACAAGAATAGAACATAATACTTCAATTACAAAAGAAAAAATAATATCTATGTCATTAACATATTCAAATAACACTTTATTGTGAGATAATCACTAAACAGTTTTACAAAAACAAAACAATGGCTTCTTCAGGCATGTCTTCAATAACTATATTCTACATATTCAATGCTCAATATACCTAATTTTACAATTTGAAGTACCTACATTTCAAGGACCTGAGTTTGTAATGAATTAAATTTTCTGAGTTTATGTCCTATAGTTTCCACATTTGAATACATATTTATTCACGGGGAGTTAGTCAATTCTAATTGAATCATTAGGTAAATTACCCGAATTCTGGATTCTATTGATTTCTAAATACTCTAGAAGATTGAGTTTCAAACTTTTTTAAATATAACAAGTCGTATTCATGATTGAATTCATGTCCTACTGCTAAAAGGTAGTTTGCAAATGTGGAATTGGTCTTTCTATTTACAAAACTACTTGTATGCTCTTTAATTCTTTGGGAAAATGTTCTCCATGTTCGTCCAAAATACAGTTCCGAACAAGAACCATAAGTCAGCTTACTTCTGATCTATCCGACACCGAAGTTTTGTCTTTATTGGTTTAAGTAAATTTACTTAGACTATTATTCGTTCTGTAAGATACGTACGCATTCTTTCTTCAAACAAGGGGCAATATTCTTGATGGGTTCACCCAAAGATGACAATGTCCTATAATTTGCAAATAGCCTGACATAAGATCTAATGTACAAAATAATTTAGTTCCAGTAAGTAATTCAAATATTCGGAATTGGAAAACTTTTCACTACAGTTTGAGAGTTCAATTTTCTAAAGTCTATCACTTGCCTTGTTTCGCCCTACGATTTACGTACTAGTAAAACTGGCGAAGCATAAGGAGAGTTTGTATCACAAACAATACCGCACTTCTGCCATTCTTTGACGATATCATTTATAATTATCCGATCAGCAAAATTAGCGCGATAAGGTTTCATTCTGACGGGTGTGTGTGTCATTATCTTCAATGTTCACGGTCATCAAGTCTGTGCAACCTGACTCACGTAATATTTATTGCAGAACATTCACGAAATTCAGTCATTATTTCTAAAAGTAGTCATATCTAAAGTGATGAGTAGTCTCTTATTATTCACTTGTACTTTCGATTCAACAAAACTTTCATTCTTTCCTCCTATGTCTCCAATACAATTTCCTACTTTCAGGTCTATGTCGCAGTCAGTTATCATTGGTAAATGTGATACTTCATCACCAATTTGTACTTCGACGAAATTCACTGACATCTTTTCAGATAGGTACTGCAATTTTCTTATTTTCCGCTCTCTGTTTGATATCCCTGAAATGGTCTTCGATTTTATATCCAAAATAGAAATGATCTTACATTCTAACATAAGCTATTCCCGGTAGTTCAGTAAATGTCCGGCCAATCACTAAATTCATAGATTGAGCGCTGTCAGGTACTACAAGAGCCTCGACCTCTTCTTGTTCTTCATGTATATTTATCAAGATTTTGGTCAGCTGTTTACTCACAGTGCTTTGTCCTCCTAAACCATTCAAGCTCTGATGAGTCTCTGAACTACCTTTTCTTCCAGAATCAACAGTGAACAGATCATTGATTTTGACTTGTCTGATGATTTTTTGAACAGATCGGGCCTGCAAATTATCAATATCGTTATTTTGTCCTTCAGCAATATTGGAAATCATCACACATCGATTTGTACTTTTGGTACAATACTTCTTTATATGACCTCTCCCCTTGCAACGAAAACAAATGACTCTAGAATTAGAAGGTACTCCTTGACTTTCTCTTCTAGACTCCTCGTAATTTTCCGTAGTGGACGTCACTTTATTTTTGTAATAATTATTTGTTTCACGTACATTTCTATTGTTCCAATTAGCTCCTCTACTATAGAATGTTTCTTGTTGACAAGTCCAAACAAAATCACATTGACTTTCAAAACAATTTGCTTCGTTATTTATTTTTTCAAATCGAATTATTTCATTAAACAGTTCATCATTATCTATAGTTTTTATGCCACGCAAACCACAAATGATGTTTTTCTTATACAGACTTGCTCTTTGGTTTCGTCATGATTATAACCAAGAGCTTGACAAAGAGTGACTTTATCTTGGAAATAAGAATAAACCAATTCATTCCCACCTTGGTATCTCATTTTCATCTTTTCCCACATCTCATCTTTGCATTTCTTTGCAGTACCAACCATATGGATTTTTGCAGTTTGTAAAGAGAACTTCTGAGGCCAATTATGTAAAATCGCCGCATGTTTCAAACTGGAAAGCCAATTCATTACGGGTTTCCCGAACGATTCTAATAATAATAACATTAATTTGGTAAATAGGATACATTCCTAATATATAATAACAAAATTATAAGTAATAAATAATTAATTAGTATTTCAAAAATCATGACTTATCATCCTATTTGTATAAAATTCAGTTACACTTGTTAGAAATATGTTACAGTTGTTCAGTTTAAAACCTTTTTAAGGTTGAAGCTGATTTAATTGAATGAGGAATTTGTTGTACGTATCAAAACCTTTGACATATACTGAGTTCATACTGTTTTTGGTATTAGTTCTATGTGTATGTATGTCAAGATTATGTCTAGTGTAATATTGGTGAATATCATAATTATAACAAATAGATTTTTTAAGATATTTATTCGAGTTGACTCATTAACAATTTTATGAACGAATATCATTGTCTGGTATAAAAGTCTCTGGGATACTGAAAGCCACTTTAAGGTTAATAACATTGTAATTATGGGAGTATATCAGTTTCCTCTCAATATGATTGTCATTTCTCTATTTTGTAGTTTTTGTTTGTTCAAGTTGAAGGAGTATCATATCGAAGCACAATAATCAAAATGTGGTTGAATCATTGTTTTATAAACTAATATCCTTGTGTTTGATGACAGATGCCTTAAAATTCTAGAGTGAAAATAGTTTTTTGAAATTTTCTTGTGTATGTATTGAAAATGTTCTTCATATGTGAGATTACAGTCCAGTTGGAACTCTAGGTATTTTACAGTATTATTCACTTTTATATTTTCATCATCAATAGAAATATTTATTCAGTTTATACCGATTTTTTTATATTTGTATTTTGAATTGAGGATCATGGCAGTAGTTTAACTCACATTCAGTTTCAATTTGTTAATTTCAATGTATCCTTCAACTTTTTACAAAATCACATTCATTTTCTATATAGCAGCATCTAGGCTTATATCACTACAAGCTAATATTGTATTGAAATTGTATTGTATTGAAATATTCAACGCTCTGACTGAAATCTGGCATCACATGGAACTCCTTTGTTCACTTCCAATAGTTTTTTGAAGTTTTGACTTTCAAGCAGTTTCATGAACTTTTCTTCAGATGCCATTCTATTCTTCTCCATTGTTATCATCATTTCCATGACCTTCTCTGTTGAGCTGTACTTTCTTTTGAACTGGTTCTCTTGTTATCTGCGTCCATGTCAACAGAAATGCAATGCTCTTATTGACGCACGTTTATTCAACCAAGTTGGCGTCTTCAGGGAGAATATCTTTTTGATTCAATAATTTTCATTAATATGGCTTTTTTTGTTGATTAACAAATTATGGAAAACATTGAATGTCATTGATTCATTTAGAATTTTATTAAATAAATAATTGGTATCACCAAGCCTCTCTGGCTCATTTTAAACATTTTCAACCATCCACTGATATACTCACAAAAAATTATTTTGGCTGGATATACCTTTTACGATTATGACTAAGTTTTTCTCAAACTGCAGAAAACATTTATGTACCGACCCCAAATATCTTGCAACAAAAGTTTCGTAGCATTTTATTTATGAACACTTCGTATGTATGACCACCCTTGAAATAATTTCCTTACTACGGCCTTGACCATCGGCATCACAAGCTTTTTTAATATCGGAATAATAATAAAAAACAATTTTTTTTGACATATTTTTGAAAAATATTTGAAGCAATCAATTTGAATTATTGAATAATTTATAATTAGGTTACCTTATTAGCATTACTCAAATCTTCAACTGTAATATCACATTCAGGTGTAATATCAAATTTGTGATTTCTAACAATTTTATTCAAATTATTTCCGAAAGTAAGCTCATTTGTCGTGAAATAATAATTCATTATATAATATTTCATTCGCTCAAATATATAAGGCGATTGAAATGATAATTAAAAAGATTTTGTCCCCCACATATGCTTCTGAATGTGCATATGGTATTTCAAACAATAAGTATAAAACGATTGATTTCTTTTGTTGTTACTATTCATAACACACAACTTAATAACTTTGTTTTTAGCTTTTATTCATCATAGACTCAAACATGACGAAAAAAAATTCCAATGCCAATTATGTGACAAAGCATATCGTACCAAGGCCGTTTTGAAAGTGCATATGGACACACATGCAAATAAACGTCAACACCTGTGTAATGTTTGCGGTAAAGGTTTCAACTATCCAATTGCATTAAGGTATCATATGCGTCTCCACACAGGAGAAAAAAACTACAACTGCGAATTTTGTAACAAGAGCTTTCGAATGAAAAATTCCCTCAATCGACATAGACGTACACACACTGGTGACCGGCCTTATAGATGCAAATTCTGCAGCCGAAAATTTTTCTCAAGAGGAGAAGTAACTTGCCACGAATACACTCACACCGGTTACAGGCCATATCACTGCAAGTACTGCCGAAGGGGCTTTTCCAAGACACACAATCTCAAGGTTCATCTGTTGTCACACTCTGGTGATTATCAATGTAATTATTGTCGTAGGAGTTTTATTGAAGGGGATATTTTATCAATGCATTATAAGATTTCTCATAAGGATCGCTTACAACAGGATGAAGGAGAGAGCACTGATAGTCACAGAGGAAATGATGAGTCACTTGATTTCTCGGATCAAAAACAAGCATCAGAATGAGTTTCATCGTTGTTCCAGAAAAAATTGAGTGAAAATAATTTGTTTTTTGTTATACAATAAATAATATAATACTTTGTATCGAGTATTTCTCATTCATTAATATTATGTCTAACTGCAATCACCAATTTTACGTCTCTGTATGTTCTTTAATAAGAGATACACTTGAAAAATCAACCCTGTTATTCAGTTACTCACTCGTAATTTTTTTTAACTAAACAAATCAAGGTAAACGATAACCTGGAGTTACCTCACAATTGTATTACATATCATAAATCGAATTCAGAAAAGCAAATGGTAAAACATTATATATCCTACTGAATGTTAATTATTATGCTATTAATTAAATGACTCAGCAGTGCTTCTAGAAAGAAGTCAAACATGTTTTATCCATCTGAATTACACAAAATAATTAGACTTGATCAAGATAATTTTTGCATTGAACATATAAGGGATATGATTATGTTAGAAGCAAGAAATGTTCAAAGAACCCTTGATGAATTTTTTTAATTGAATAACTTTATTTAGCTCTTTGAACTATTACAGTACATTATACATTGGAAAAGATGGCATAATTTGAGATAAGGTAAAATAACATTCATAAAAAAATTAAAAATACCTAAAATAATATGGGAATAGATTAAAATGCAGAATCATGAATGAAAATTAACAAAAAAAAATCAACCCCAATAAGATAGTTCTAGGAATATATACTGGTATAAAAATTTAGGATTTAAATTGAGGTGCATATTTGGAAAATTGAATTTTGTTAAGAATTTAAGCTATTCTGAACTTTAATAATGAAATTGTCTTGTCCTACTGTACTGAAAGTATGTGTATCACTGATCTTTTCAATTTTAAAATATGGTACAGAAATCTCCAAGTGAATTTTATGTATGAATATTAATTCAATCTCTCCAGCATTACACACATTTTTGTATTCTTATCACATCTCAAAATCATTCTCGTTGTCTGGTACTGCAATTTTTCCTTCATTTTGGTAAGATGTACAAAATAGTACTACAAAAAGTGATGATGAAATTATGGTAATTTATACTGATTTTCCGGAACGCAGACAGATTTTTGCTAATTTTTTTGTCGAATATTATCTACATATTAACTGAATTTTAAATCCAAATCTACAATTTGAGATTGGGAATTTCAAATCAAACGGGATATGAAGTGGTTCTTCCAACGTTCATAATATAATTGAGGAGATAGGCAAGTGATAGTAGCAGGACACTAATGGAAGAAACTTAGCTGGAGTCATGAGAAAACATTTTTAATCAATACCGTCAATAAAAACTATTAGAATTTGAATAACAATGATGTTATACTATGGCCCAGTAAACTGACAAAAAAATCAGAAGTTTTTCTTGACAAAGTAAATAATACTAATTCATCAATCGACCGCTGTGAGTACTGGTGGTTCGAATCGCAAGGTCGGACGATTGACTTTCACTTCCTATCGTCCAACCCTTGAGAATCACACGTTAAAAGGTAAGACCTCGTTAGTTCTTAGCTCGCACAAGTTTCGAATGTTGAGACTTGTCGTTTGTAGGGGGGGCGACAGCTGGTTAACTGAAAAACAGTTTTTTTTAACAGATTAATAACCACTGCACCTAATCGACCTCACATAAAGAAAGGATGAAATGAACATGTTTACAATAATAATTTAGCATTATACAAAGCTTTTCATCGAAAGCACATTCTTGACTACAATATTTTGCATAAAACTACATTTTTTTAAAGACAATACAAACCTCAATAAAGCAGGGACCTTCTTCCTATCTAAAGCCATTATTTCCCACTTGGAAACTGAGTACGGAAACTGTTACTAGAAATTACTGAATACGGAAACTATTACTGCTTTCAGAACTAGCAACTATACTAGTCATGAAAATGAATGAGAAATTAAACTTCCTATGTTTTCCCACTTGTATTTGTAACTAACGTTACTGAAGTTTCGTCCTATTGGGACATTTTCAAGCGATTACAATAAAAAGTTTTTGTATATATGATGATGATCTAACACGTATTAACGGCTACATCCATCAATTTAATGAAAATAAAAAAATATACTAATGTTACCCAAAGAAGTCCAAATGAAGGTGATGGATCTAGGACTATACAGGAGTTGTAAGAAAAACTGAAATTGTCGGCAGGTTAGATAAAATCTTTCATTATATAAGGAGTTGTCATGTCTAGAAGGAAATGATCCAAAATTTTCCGAAAACTCCCTTCGTCAGGTCAATAACAACTTAATATCTAATTTTGAAAACCCCCTATTCAACCTAGAAATTGACGCTCCTACTATTGAATATTTAGTTACTCTGCAGGTTGATGAATTATTTGTTCTTAGAAAGCCTGAATTTTCCTAATTTAGTCCTTTTGACTAACTGTCAAGCAAGCACAACTGTAATAGGTTTTATCAACGTTGTGAGCAAACGAACTGGCTTTTTTTTTCTTGATAATAATCGCCGTTTTGAGGTATTTTAAGGATTATTAGAAAATTTCAACAAATCGTTTCCTCTTCAAAAAATCAAAATAAGAAAAACCCTGGTTGACAAAAGGTACTAAAATCTGCCAAGTAGGTACCTAAGATCATCACATCATATAAGGAAATGTATAGATCCTACCCAATCTTCATTTATTGATCACTATATAGAGGTACAGAAAAACTTTGAAGTATGCTAAGCAGATCTTCTTCAAAGAAACACTGGACGAGGCAGAAAATACATCAAAAGAAAACTAGGCCTTTACACAGACCTATTAAAAATTTTTGTGATTTTTTTTAAAACAAATCACCTAAATATGCAATATGTTATCGATTTATTACTTAAAAAATTAGGGAGAATCTGATATACCTATACAAATTTAGCAAATCATAGTTTTATAAATTGGTTATATTTTCGCCTACAATCATATTCAATTACTTAAATTATAATATAAAATGCTTAAATTATATATATTTTTTTATTTCCTCTCCCTTTTCTTTGTAAAATTTCTTGCGTAGCTTTTTCACCTATGAATTGTGTTTTGTTGTTCTCTATGAAGTAACCAACAGTAATCACCCATCATTTTGATACCACCATCCCTGGTATCGCTTCTCCATCTCTTTTATGTCCTGATGAAACAATTTCCCTTGCTCTTCACTCACTTGCTTCTGATAAATGAAGAAATGTCTCACACAAATATTTAAAACAATCACCATCTTTAGACAAAGCTTTAACAAATTGTTTCATTGAACCCAGATTTTTGTGCAGTGGAGGTAGAAGACTCTTATTGAGGTTTTGTGTGAAAAGTTTTTTATGCCAGGTCTCCAAGTTTTCCTTAAGTGCCATTGTTTTTGAAACCAATGTTGATCCCTTATTCCTTGCTCTGCTGTGGAGCAGAGCAAGGAATAAGGGCAAGACAACTTTTAAATCCCCACATAGCATCCAATCATGAGCTGTATAGTTAATTTTCTCTGAAATGATATTAAGATTTTCGTAAGTTTCCTTAACATGACTTGAATGTACCACAGGCACTGAGGCATAAATATCTCTATTATTTAATAACACACCTTTCAAGCTTGTTTTTGATGAATCAATAATTCTTCATTTTTTTTTTTGTATTCAATGCCAAATTCATTCATTAGACTGTCAATATCGTGACAGTAAACTAGATCCTCGTGCTGCCGAAAAAATTGAGTGAATTTTTTGACAAGTAAATCAACAACTTGACATTACCATAGCATGCATTTTGTTTGTCAAGACCTACTTAAAAATTTTATTCAACGTGATTAAGCATCCTTACCGCTCTAGTTGTGTTTATAAATGATCTGTAAATACTGAATATTGAAATTTTAATGTAATTTCAACTCTAGTAATTTTATTAATACTTATTGTAGTTTTTGAGTTGTTTCTGCTTTTTCAAAATTGAAGGTACTGACGTTTGTTTAAGAAAATAGCCAAGTGATTGAAACTTTGCACCAGTCATGTTAAAATGTATCAGAAACTCCATGATGAGATTGTTATGTATACCTACATGAATTGATGACAATTAACTGAACTAGTTTTTTAAAATAAAGGGGATATATCTGTCAAAAATAAGCAAAACGTTAACTTTATCGTAGCTGCATAATATTTGGCATATGGATATAAAATTGCCGTAAACAACTTTTTCAACTAACTTTTTGTTAAATTCGATCTAGAAATGCACTTTTTAAATTTTTTTCAAAAAAAAGTTGAATTTGACAAACACTGAACGTCAGTGGGTCACAGTGCCGAAGTTAAACTTCATTGAAACTTTTCGAAAAAAAAGTTTCCCATATGGTGCGCACTTTAATGGTGACACTGTATAAGGGATAATGCTATTGAAAATGTCTTTATAGGACGAAACTTCAGTAACTTTAGTTACAAATAAAAGTTAAAAAACACAGAAATTTTCATTTCTCATGATCTCCTACCACGTAATAACGGGCTATATCCATCAATTCATTAAAAATTCATTTCTTTTTTCCTAATATATACTTTGTTTTGACAATACTATTCTTTAATTCATTTTGATTTGTTCATTTTTAATCTCACAACTGATTCAATTGGTCATCTATATACAAATAGCCAAAAATCAGTTTAATATTGGTTGAAACAAATTGTCCCACAATCAAAATTATATTAACGAGAGTTTGTTATGTCCGCGAGATTTCCTTTTTTGATGTGTTTGCCTTAACCAACATTTTTCATATAAAAAACTTTTTATATAGTAGAAACGTTGATTATTAAACTAAATAGTGTCAAAGAAGGTGAAGTAAGGTGTAAGAAAATAATTGTAATTCTATAGTTTGTATTGTGCAAAAGAAAGGCAGAAAAGTTTCGGAACTTTGAGGGCTGTGACTCCAGAAATAAACAAGAGCACAGATTTTTTTCATTCCGATTCGTAATCTACACGTTAAGATATGTGTACATACAAATTTTTTTGCCAAATAGGCAGATGCCTATGTAATCTACACAATGTTGACAGAGGAGAAATTGTAATGGAAATACTACTGAATTGAAATTGAATAAAAATGCAGATAAAAAGGAATTCTGATTGTATTTCATTCTAAACATGTATATAGATTAACTTTAGAAATAAGATACATTGTACGAAAGTTAACTAAATACAATAACTGTTTTTACATTTGTTATTTTCCTAGATGCCCATCTGTACTAATTTTGGAAAATCAAAGGCACTGAAAAAAAAAAGAGAATATTAGGGATAATTTATAACGATTGAACTATAAACTGTCACAATAACATATCCTTCATAACTTTTGAAAATAACCAACTTGCGAATCCTATTGGAATTCAATGTACAATTACGGTATGTAAATTGGTCTGCTGACTAGAATATCTGATGTCAGAATTTGAATACAATAGTATAAAATTATTATTTATATCCTTCTATTCAAGTTCTAACGTTGAAAGTACCCTGCAACATTCTTTATTACTTTAACCACATCTCTATATAATGTAACACCTTGATACGAGAATTTACACCAGCAACATTCTGCTAACTGATCTTCAGAGTATATACCTCTCATATTTGAAGGTGAAGATTTTAAATATTTTTTATCTCATTAGTGAATATTTCCTTAAAGAAAGCACCAGTCTTATGTACAAATTTTGGGTCTGTTATTACTAAAAAATTACAACTCGTGCATGAATACTACAATTGAAAATAAATTTTTCTACTCCTTACGACTCGAGTTATGACTTGTTACTGGCGACTTCCAGCTGGTGCATGAATTTGTTCTCAAGCACAGAATATAAAAACAGTTCATAAAAATATCTAATAAAGACTATACAAGTTGATTCATATAAGCTGATAATCCCAGAGAGATGCTCCAGTACTGATTCCAGCAAAAACAGTCAGAAACTTGAAAATCAATATCCTTCTGCTTATGACTTCCCACTACTGGTCCAGGAATTTTCCTTCAAACAGAGATAATATAAAAACGTTTCATAAGAACCTCCGATCCAATCTTTGGAATTTCTAAAAAATTGTCATTACAGTTGATTCGTATAACCACTTATCCCAGAGAGAGAAAGATGTTCCAGTAATATTTTCAGCAAACTTTAGAAACATAACCTTACAATACTTACATACTCTTATAATTCCAATCATTGCTCCGAAGATAACTAAGTTAGCTATTACAGACTCACGACTTTTTTCTATTAGGTTATTGGAATTTCCAGCTCGTCCAAAATTTTCCTGTTGTATTTTCCTCATTCTTAATTTGAAATTTAAAAATTTTTTTAATTACTAAAAAGCTGAGGTTGCTCAATGGTCCGTAGTCCGTGGCTGTCTGCACCAGTGTTGCCAATAGAAATTGCACAAAATACTCCAAAACTTATAAATAAATACTTCACAAAATCCTCGCACAGCATACTTTCATTCAGTGACGTTAGTAAACTGCGATGTTACGTAAAATGCCTAGTGATGAATATTTACTTTATATATTTTATGATATATCAGATAACATAAAATGACTAAAGAAAAAATTTTGTCATAAAACAATTCGAAAATTATAACTTATAAATGAATAAAAAAATAGTAATTGTGTTAAAAACATCAGATGTTCAGTTTACAATATATTGAAATAAAATATATACTCTGTATAAAATTTAATGATATATAAAAATAATTGAAACTCACTTGTTGATTATCACAAGAAAAATAGAAAAAATAGAATATATTTCTCAAACTAACTGAAATAATAATCAGGTTTTTCATTTTGATATAATTGATAAAAGTAAGTGTTATGTTAATAAAATCAAAATAACATGTATGTTCTACACAGGATATTTATCTAAAAACTCCTGAAAATTCAATAGAAAATTGCATATAATCACGCAAAAAATTTGAGTTGAACAATTTTTAGTAGGAGCTACTTCCTTTAAAAACTTAATGGAGAGTGGTATCTAGTGACAGCTCATTTGAAAAGTCGTACAAAGTAAACCTCAAACCACCAAAACATAGCTTTAACAACTACATGCGTCATGTGTCACTCATAAATATATAAGAACGAAATGTCCAGTACAAGCAAGTACTCATAATGGGGAATGTTCCTCAATTTGGGTTATTGCAGCAAATGCAAATTTGAACAAAATAAAGTTGAGTTTGATTCATGAGTTCTTCAAATTCACTTCGAAAAGTATTCAAATTGATGTTTCAAATGTTGGGTTTTAATTTTTAAAGGGATTTGTTTCTAATTCACATATTGGCAACACCGCGTATATCAAGTTGAAATAATTTATACGTACCTCGATATTCTACTTTAAAAAAGGAAAATTATCTTTATAAATCAACAATTAAGGCAAAACATATATTATAGTGCAATACCACCTCCACAACAGTTGTTTTGTTATTTATTTATATCTAGGAAGATAGGTTAGGTACACAAAATGTCATATGTCACAGAATGTTTCGGAACTCGGAATATAAGTAAACAGAACAGCACGCCTCTGAAATATGTCATCTTTGTTTGTCTCATACAGGTAACAGATTCATTGTCCTTTATTAGCTATAACCGATGATTCCAAATGGTGAAATAGAAACGAATCCCTTCAAATGTTGAATGCATTATTTCATTCCTCTTTTTTAAGTATTTAAATATTTTTTTAAAGAAAAAGGTTGAAATGATAAGGTTAAAATGCGCTGTTGTTTCTGTGTTTTCGAGGTCTTCAGTGTCATTTTCAGCGGCAAATTCAAATTATTTGAAACTTATCAGATATATAATTTAATTGCCATCAAGAAATTATTACGATGTCAACTCGACATATTGTTAGACAGCATTTTCGGCAATTTAAGCCAAACTAGCCTAATTTCACCGTCTTCAATTCCATTTACACTCTCTTGTTTAGGAGTATATTCAAAATACACACTTCAATGTGAGATTGCCACATTCCGTATGGCATTCTCCTATTACATGGTCTAATATCGGTGTTGCCAATCATGAAAACCCTGAATTATGTACAACCATTTTTATGTAAATATGGTCAGACAAAATGGTAATAGGGAAGTATGATAATGACTTTATTAGTGACGTCATTATTAGGTTCCCGCATTTGTAAGCATGGTTAGTGGCGGTTATAAATTAGTGAAATAACATCTTGATATTGAAAAGCAAATGAAACTTCCGAGGTTTCCACTTTTCAATCATAAAAAAAAAAAGAATGAACAGGTTGAACTCGAATAATTGAGGAGAAAATTTAACCTCAGCTGTTGGTATAGCTACACCAAACAAACCAACCACATTAATTCTGTTAAATATGTAACGAATACATGACAAACTTCAAATATGCAACTCAACTAATCTTTGTCATCAATATAAAATCTGAACGGCTAGCCGGTTCACTTTTGTAGTAAGGGATCATCAACAATCACTACATAACTTTCTATTATTTTTAGGTGGGATAATAACCGCTGTGTAATTGATAACGGGATCTCGTAAAAAATTGACTAGTATCAGGATAATATCAATCTCACATGTATTTAAAGAACGTAAATGGTAACTTATATGTAATCTACGGTGCTCTGCTCACTACTACTACTACAGTGTTACACAGTATTTACTGTCTATAGTCTATCTGCACTCTGCAGGATTAATGAACTTGTCAATTTTAAATTCTGTATTGAATTGTGGCACCTTTTAGAGAAATTGTTTTTGAACCATTTTTTTGTACCGAATAGTTTGCGTTTATCGTTTGAAAAATGGCATTCTCTTTAAATTGCACTAAATATCTTAGGTTATGTTTAACATTAAAACATTTTAGACAATTCTCTACAAGTGAATCTGCGAAGGTAATATTCAGATGTGTAATATGATTTATTTTTTTCTAAACTAGTTTCTCAACAGAAAGGTTTAGTGTTGGGAGTACACACGAGCAATGATGATAAGGGGATAGAGCTTACTCCTACATCTGAGATATACAATAAAATATCAAATGGAAAACTTCTAGATCAAATCAAACTGTGAGTACTGGTTTTATTTTTCTTTTACAGAACAATATATCAATATTTGAAATATTCGTAATTCCCTCTGAATCTGCTGCTTATGACTTTTTAAGACTACAACTTGAGACAGTACATTATTCCAGCCTTAGTCAGTATGTACAAACAACCATAACAGTCTAATTTCTATATCAGAATTAAAACACCATCTCTTAGTTCTGAAGTATTTTCATTAGATTTAATTCATGTCAAGAGGTTCCAATTTTACCTATCAAAATATTACTTTTTAGATCAAACAAGTTCCAACATTTTTCAATTTGCAAATGCACTTTGATTCACACATTCATTTCCTTAAAAACTCTACGATTGATTAACTAAGTACAAACATTGAACCATAGCCCGTCACATATTCGATAGTATCATCAAATTTGTCATATAAGTAACATAAGTGTAGTTTGTATTACTGACCTAGACTCAAATGAACGGTTATTAAGACATTGGTGTATTCATTCTAGAACTATGAAAAATTTCACAAAATTTGCAGTATCTCCAAAATTCTAATTTTTTTTGAATCTTGAATTACACTATTAACAAGCATCTACTCGCTCGGCTCCAAATTTTTATAACCAAACACATCCATGGTATGGGTATCAAGTGAAAGCCTTTGCTGAAAAGAATAGGAACAATCACATCTAATATGGCGGACCGTCCTAGATGGTGGACTAGTTTTTTAAATCCACTCATAGGGGTGGATTATCAATGAACCCCATCGTAGGATAGGGTTCATTAAAAAAAATATGAACAACATGATGTCATTTCAAATCCAAAATGGCGTGCTAGTTTTTAAAGCTATCCATGTTGTGAATTTCAAATGACAAGGTTTTCAGAAAAGAATGCAGAAAATAATTTCACTTTAAATCCAATATGATGGACTACCAAAGATGGTGGATGTTTTTTATATCCTCCCATGATATGGATATTAAATGAATGGGTTCAGGAAAAAACAATTGAAAATGGCGGAAAACAAAATGGCCACCATAACAATTCTAAATAGGTATAACTCGGTAAAGATTAGGAATAGTACGGTGGTGCGCGAACAAATGTTGTAGGAGCTGATATAACCTTTCTCCTCCCAGTCAATTCACATACCACTTTGATGTCTGCTGCAATGGCAGACGAATAGTTTAGTACTTCAATTCTCTTCAATTAAATTGAGGGCTGTTCTCCCTACACCAGATATGAACTTTGTTGTGTGAGTTTGAGTGCAGGGACATTGTCCTGCAAAATAAAAACACCTTTGGACAACTTTAAGCGTTTTCTCTCCATAATTTTTTCTCATAAAGTGGTCACGGTTACTGCTTGCCAATCACAAAAAATTTTCCCAGCAGAATTTTGAACACAGACATTTTTAAGGCCTTGAAGAATCAGTGTGTTTCCATTCAATCTATTGCTGCTTTGTTTCCGCTTCTACCCATGCATGCTTCTGGTTAACATTCATACATTTGGAGAATAATTTTGCAGAAATTTTTTCATGTCCAAGTCAACGTGAATTATATGATGTACACATAAAATAATTAGTGTCTCAAATATTCTTTATAGCCCAAGAAAGTAATATAAAATCTTACAATGAAGTGCTTCGATATTTATGGGAGTGAACACAGAAACAGACCTTCTTTTGGATTTTATCTAGCTACTAATATATTAATTGTTTCAAGAAAAAAGAAATCTTATAGAAAAAACACTTTTTTTAACTACACTATATGCTATGAGTTGAGTAAAATAAAAAAATATACATGATGATACCAAACATAACCACATATTGTAAATAATATAAGTAAAAAATATACATATTAGTATAAATAAAATTTTAAAGTAAACTTAAACTCTATTATTTGGAGAATTGAAGAGAATAGGATTATTATGATTCAGTCCCTTGTTAACGAAATATGGTCATCCATTGTAGAACATCCAGAGTATAACAAACTTTGTCAACAATTTGATATGTGAGTTTTTTCCTGAACATGTCTTAACTTTCAGCCGTTGTGAATCACAACATTTTTTCTGTGTCGAATTTAGTTTCAGGATTCTGAGCTGATCAGCCTGTGATGTTTTGTGTTTGTTGAATATCCTTTACAGTTGGTTTGTGCACACATCCAAGAATGCATAGTATGCACATTTGGCAGACTAGAACTGAAGTTCTTTCGAAAACATACATAAGCATAATATCCTGAGGCTAATTTTCTCGAAAAGGTTATAATATTTTCCTCAAAATTTTGTCTCCCTAAAATCAAATCTAGAAGGGGTACTTGTGATGCACTGTTTGGAACCTTTGGTGTAGTAATGAACATTACTGGATTTTTTTCCTAAAACCAAACCGTTATTTTAACATCTTGACACGTGTTTCGATCACCGAGTGATCATCTTCAAGAGGAATATCAAACTAATCTTCCACGTGTCGAGGTGTTGAAATAACGGTTTGGTGTAGGGAAAAAACTCCAGTAATATTCTAGTAGCGTACATTTGCAACTGACTACTTGGTTTGTCTGTTTGAACACTTCACATCTATCAAATTGATATCTAGAACACCAATTTCTTTAATGTCCTGCAGTGACATTGTAACGGATAAAGGAATAAAATCTTCAATGGACATAAATTCATATCAGCCTTTCATTCACATAAGGAAGTAGATAATTCTTGAAGTTCGTTCAGCAAGCATATCTGCCTTCCCACAAACAGCCCAGAAGGGGGGTTGAATTTCCATAAGATTCGTTTTTCCACACCATATTGGTGTACTTTGTTCCAATCAATTTTGTCAAATGTGTTATTTGCCCCAACAAAACTCTTACCACTGTCACTGTACACTACAGTGACAGGTCTGCCTCTTCTGCTGATAAATTTTCTGAAGCCTCTCTGTTGATGAGCTTGAAGCGAGTTCTAAGTGTACAGCTCTATGAATAGTACATAAGAAAATAATGACTCATACCTTTTCATTATTTCTTACAAAAAGTGGACCTCCCAAATTAATTATTTCTAAGACAGCTACATCTTTCACACTATTCGCAGGCAATGGAGCTAGTGGTGTTCAGAATTATTTTCCTGATTTTCACGGGAAACAACTTACCTTGATAAAACTGACGTTTTTAAATATGGCATGGATATAATTTTATCATCAAATAAAGTCTTACTGACGTTTCAAATTCTTTTTATTTGACAACTCTTACTAACAAACTTGATTCAACTCTAAAATTATTGTCAAACATCACATAAACTAAATATGAAACCTAAATATGGAGGGAATAATAAAAACATTTATTCTAAATCTAACATTCACCACCACTTTGAAATTAAAATGAAAAACAAAAGAGAAATTCCAAAGTTTTACTCGAAACCATAACAATGCGGAGCTCTTCTGTTTTCTCTTTGGTGACCTGCTCTATTTTGCAACTCTTTCCTGGCATAAGTATTTCTATCTCCTCTGTTCGTTGTATGAATTTATCGCCAGATGGCAACTCTGTTGCACGATATAGTCAATATTTGGATTCGTAGGAGTAGATGTAACTAATCGTAGAGGTTTGGTGGCGATATCGCACATTTAAATTTTATCATGAGATTATTTGAAAAGGACTTTAGAGAAATAAAGTATTTTTCAGCGTTGATTTTTAATTCCATTCACTTGTTAGTTCGTCCACTTTAGTATTGAATTTATGTCAATGATGTGTTTTTGTTTCAAGTTTCTGAAGTGGAGTACCTTCATGAGATGATATATTGTCTTTGTATATTTCATAGGCCCTTCTGGGTCCATTATTGGTATTGTTTCTTCAATGAAAAATTATTTTTTTTAAGCTTGCAGTCCAATTTTTCACAGTCGCATACAAAGGATATTAATCTCCAAGAGTATCAAACATATTTTCGTGACAACTTGTGATAACTCTCTTGAAATAAAAGATAAAGTGAATGTGAAACATTGGTCCATGAATCACTCATAATTCTTGTATTCTTCATTGATATGTTAACCCAGTATTTGTTTATCTATATAACCAGTCCTCATAAATATTGCTCATAATATATTGGAAACGCTCCTTAGAAATAGACTAATTTATTATTTGTGTTTTCGGAGTTCTGCCAATACATTATTCAAAGGTGTATCCACTTAGCTACAAAACACCAATGAAACAAAATACTTCATTTCTTGTTGAAACCAGAGCCCTGGTTTCAACCAGTTGCCTTGCAGTGAAAAAAGACAGTGAATCTCTTTCGGCCGCTGAAGCTTAGCTTTGCAACTCGGCGCTTCTGAAAGCCTCGTTTATCTTCGATATTCAAGGATTGATTCTTCTGTCGATCTTATAATCGCCTCTACTATTTAATTTCTTATTGTGTTACCTAACATACCGGTGGGTATATCTTTACTTGAGTGGCTTCACTAAACAATGCCTGAACCATTATAGTGTTTATAAAATGCATTCGAGTTGCCGACCTATCGAGCAGACAGTTCTTCTTACGTCATTGACATTAATCTTATTGCACATTCAAATAAGGTTCCTAAAGACATCCTGCCGATGATGTTGAAAGCCTATTGGCAGGGTATTTTAAGAACCCTATTTTAAGCTGAAAGTAGGGTTTATGGAATACTTTAATGAACTTTAAATGTTCAAGCCAGTCTCGAATATACCTACACAGTAGGTTAAATGGACTGACGCCTATCAGAAAACAACGACTCCCCTGGATAATATCACGAAGGGCTGACTAATAAGAAATGATGTAAGAAGCACTGCTTGCTTGACCGGGTGTCAATTTTAAAACAGAAGAGAGCTGTAGATTCAAACAGCTAAACATCTGAAACAAACTCTAATCCATTATTTGGCTTACTGGATATACCCACCCATACATAATCATTCTCTTTTTTCCTCTTTCCGTTATATAGTTATTTGAGAGAGAAAAACAATTTTGTGAAAATAGATTTACCAGGGTCAAAATATTTTAAGATTGTTTAAGAAAGAAATCAAATTAATGCTGACAGTTCAGGAGCTGATAGAACAAAATATAACAAAAAAAAAGGAATCAATGAAACGCTAAAAATAATTCTAACTTCTCTCGAATAATACTTCGATATCAAAATTTTAGAGATACTCGTGGACTTTTCCCGCGGAAATTCGTTCGATAATCGCCGCCCTGTAAGAAATCTCTGGCTTCATGATCACGTTCAATTATTTTTCCTAATACCGCTGCCAGTTTGCTAATTAATATTTGGCTATAGAGGTTGATTGAATTTTACGTATTCCTCTTACTGGATGGTTTTAATTATTTCGAATTATAAACCGATTAAATCTATTTTTGTCAGCTTCCTCGTGGCTTTAGACTTAACTTATGCCAATTGCACCTGCAGTGTGTCACAATTCTTTCAATTCGGGTATAAATTATCCCGTTTTTGATTCATATGTCAAGGAAATTTCATTTTGTATAACCTATGCATGAACAGATTATATTCAAAATCATATTTCTCGTATATTATGTTAATGAAACTCTTCGATTTGCTTACCTCGATGTTGAGAAGAGTAATTTCAATTATAAATACTTTGATCAGAGGACGTAGGTGTGGTCTTGATGATATTATAATACCTAATTCGAAATCATACACCCGTGTAATAAAATATCTGATTGTTTCAGGTCGGTCGGGTTATTCTAATAACCGCGTCACCAGCAGCATGGCTTCAAGTCGTGATGGTAGGAGTAGCTCGGCTTCTTCTCACAGCGGTTCAAACGTACCACCCAATCGTTCGTCGATACGCACTCCAAAAAGACCACGACCTACGACCAGCTGCACCCTCGATGAAAAAAATACCGACTTTCTCTGCCCTGTATGTTTCAAATTGATCGAGGAAGCGCATATCACTAAGTGCGGCCATACCTACTGCTATTCTTGCATAACTAAATCAATCGAAACTCAAAAGCGGTGTCCAAAATGTAACGCTTTCGTAAGTGTGGAGGAAATATTTCCAAATTTTTTGCTAAATGATCTGATAAAGAAACACAAACTTCGGATCAACGGGTACGAAGCCCTCGGTCTGACTAGGGACAGTTCGGGAGAATTTTCCTCTTCCGCGGATGGTTTGAGAGATTTCGTGGCTAGCGAGTCGCAAAATTTGACTTTACCGGACGTTAACGTTATGCTCGAAGTTTTGACGCAGCGCAAGCATCTCTTGGAGGCAGAATCTTGCGCCGCACAGAATCGGTTACTCCTCGAGTTCCTCCGACATCTCTTGAAGCAGAAGCGGGAAAAACAAGCGCAAATCGCCAAAGAGATCACCGTGATTGAAAGTGACTTATGTGAAGTTGGCAACAAGTTGAAAGAAGTGCACAGCAAGTGTCCCACCCTGGAGGATGTCGAACGAACAGCCGCGGGAGCTTCCGAAACTGACGCTTTAACCGTCAACGCCATGAAGAAGGAGATGATCGAGATCATAGATAAAATGGGGTCGTCTATTGGCTACCCAATAGACGTTCGGGATAAAATCCCTTTTATCCCGAACGCTGGTTTCACGTTGCGGCGCAGAAGGATGCATGACTACTTCGATGATTTTGTAGAATCTTATTTGTCGTATCGTTCGAAAGACGTGTTTTTCGGAAAAGAAAGTCTGGATAAAACTGCCAAACCTGCCCTGGAACTGAACCCAGGGCTGGACCAATTTCGAGAAAGTCTAATCAAGTTTTCGACGTACAACTCCCTACGTGTTCTTTCAACTTTAAACTACTCCAGTGATCTGTTCAATAACTCTACGATAGTGTCGAGCATAGAATTCGACAAAGACAATGAGTATTTCGCGATCGCAGGTGTCACCAAGCGGATAAAAGTGTTTGATTACGGAGGGGTCGTTAAAGATATCGTTGGCATCCATTACCCTTGCATAGAAATGATTTCGAGGTCGAAAATTTCTTGCATAAGCTGGCACAATTATCTTAAAAGCACACTGGCTTCCAGTGATTACGAAGGGACCGTCACAATATGGGATGCCTCGACGGGACAACGGACTAAGACCTATCAGGAACACGAAAAACGTTGCTGGAGCGTGGATTTCAACTGCGTCGACACTCGCTTGATCGCTTCTGGCTCCGACGATGCGAGAGTGAAACTGTACTCTCTCAATGAGGAGCATTCCGTGGCCACTCTGGAAGCTAAAGCTAATGTTTGTTGTGTAAAATTCAATCCACGCAGCTCCTGGCATCTAGCTTTCGGCAGTGCCGATCACTGTGTTCACTATTATGATTTAAGAAACATGAAAGAGGCTGTGAGCTTATTCAAGGGCCATAAGAAAGCTGTGAGCTACGTAAAATTTTTGAACAGTGAAGAAATAGTTTCGGCATCGACGGATTCTCAACTTAAAATGTGGAGCATCAATACCCCACACTGTCTCAGATCTTTCGTAGGACATACTAATGAGAAAAATTTTGTTGGCCTGGCTACAGATGGTGATTATGTAGCTTGCGGTTCCGAAAATAACGCTTTGTATGTATATTATAAGGGGCTTAGTAAAAAATTGTTCACTTATAAATTTGAGGCTATTGAAGGCGTCCTTGAAGTAGAAAGACGTGAGGATGATTCCAGTGAATTCGTATCTGCTGTTTGTTGGAAGCAGAGCTCTAATGTAGTTGTGGCGGCAAACAGTAGGGGTATGATAAACATTTTAGAACTTGTTTAGTTATTCCATCGATGGTGAATGTATTTATTTTTGTTATATTTTATTGTTGACTATGTGTATATATTGTAATTATGATTTATTTATAACGACAATCACTTCCGTTAATTTGATGAAGACAAACATTTTTTTCAGTTTTAGTATCAATTCTGTTCGTTCAACTTATTTCGGAAAAAGTTACTGAAAAGTTATGTTGAAGGAAGTTTGATTCTTATGATTGTAAACGGCTTCAAATATATCAGATTCATGAGTAAATCTGCAATACAGGCACCAGTCTAGAGTTTTCTTACTTATATATTTGCCAGAATATACACAAATTAAAATTATAAAGTTGTAACATCGATGTTTTCGATGAACTTATTCATTATAATAACAGGGATACTAGAAAACTTGTAATATCCCCTTGTGAAGAAGAACTTTTGTCAATAGATTCAGTTAACTACTCTTTGACTTACTTTTTCTCTCTTTATGTGTGTATAAGGATTACAGTGTTAAAGTTGTTCAGCGGACACATTCTGTACAACATACATACATATGTATTGAGAAACCTTAAGATCCTTGAGCAGTAATCATTGAAAAATGTGGATCACAAAAAACTCATCAATGATGAAAACACTGCCAAAATCCTATAAATAGTCAAATAAGCACAATAGAAATTCTTCCTCATCACAATTTCAAATTAACTAAAAGACTTGTGTCCTGTCAGTTGTGTACAACAATAGGCGTTCTCAATTGGCATTTGGTATCATCAGTGGTTGACATAAAGCAGATCTAATTCTGAGATATATTACAGTTATATGTTCCTTTTAGTAATTATTATTTAGCTACTAACTGTACTCAGAAACACATCCACTTTAAAAGCAGTTGTTGATGTCAACCACTGATGATACCAAACACCAAACAAGAATGTCTTATAAGACTCTCAATAAGACACTCATGTCCTGCATGGCATATTTAACTATAGAGATCCATCCATAAACCTAATTATATTCTACATTGTCATTAACGTGAAAAGTTACTCGCTATCGCTGGTGTATCAGATAATATTAAAAAGATAGGGCGGATAACTTTTAAAGGATAAGTGCCAACAAGACACACCTAACATTAAAAAAGCCAATTAACTCAATCTAGAATAGGAGTAGTGACAACAAAATACACATTGTGTAACTTTTGTTTCTTACTTTAGTTCAGAGGTTATGTATAAGTCGTACAGTGACTGACAAAGATAGGCTTTTCATTAACGATGGTAACTAGGCTGGGTAAATTTTGAATTTTGCCTAAAGAAAGCACCATTCAAAAGGATGATAAAAGAATGTGCTTCCAATCGAAAAGTCCAAATAACATAGGTTCTGATTCCTCACAGTTTTTGAGTAAATTTGATTTTTACAGAAGACCGTGTGTTTGGAAAGAACGAAAATTATTGTAAAAATTACAAGGACATTTTGACACACATATATTTAAAAGTAAGTAGTAGGGTTGTTCATCTGTCATTTTGAGTATGAACAAAAAATATGCTTCAGCAGAATTAATTTTTTTTTCTTCACAAAATGTTAACTATGATTCAAATGCCACTTACCTAAAACAATATTGTATGTAAATGGATCCCTTTTGATAGAAACTGTGCTAATTCACTTGAAACCTTATTTGTTTAAAAAGTCACTTTAGTTTTCATTTATTGAAATTTGTTCTCATCCCAAATATTAAAAAACAAAATAGATAATATTTCAGTTTATTTAACAAATTTATAAAAATAATTTTAACACCTCATAGATTTGATATAATTCAATGAAATTGCTAAACCTGACCCGAGCTGACCTGACTTGACTGGTCTTTACCTGATCTGACACAAACAAAATAACCCTTGTGTCTGACACCCACTAATTCGAGATTTTATTTGTAATCCTAGCTCACATTCCATCATGTAGTTTTATGTAAGATATTCCTTCACTGTGAAAAATGAGAAATAAAACTTTCTATATTTTCATAACACTCGTATTTGTAACTAACGTTACTGCATGTTCATCCTATAAGGACATTTTCAAATGGATATCCGTTTTATTGTATCCGTTGTAGACTTAAGTTTCCAAATATCCATTTTTTAAAATGTTGATATATCTACATTATAAATCCTTGAAAACAATTTTCAATATTATTGTTTTATAGTGTCCTGTCGTTCCTATTTATTTGAAATAAAAAGTATTTTCTTTGTTTCACAAAATTCACAATTAGGTACATATATCATATTTTATTCATTTATTTACGGTATTGCCTATTTTTACAAAATAACTAACAAATTCACACTTATGTACTATAACTGTCAGCTGGATGTAAGAAAAAAATATAAAAAAATAAGAAAGGCACAAATAAACTAATCAATCACAATCTTTTTACGTCATTATTAAATGAATCCAAAGAAGAATTGAAAAGTTCTTAATCACCATTGTAAGTGTTAGCAAGTCTCAAACTTCTACCTATAGACTCATTCTAGCCATAGTATGATGAAAGGGTACTTTGAACATTTCTGTATTTCTTGTTCTCTTTGGATTCACAATTAAAATTATGAGTTCAACAAGTACCGGGGTATTGATGCTACCATTGATTATTTTGTGAATCAGCTTAAGATCTGATGCTAATAAGCCAGAGTATTCAAGTTGTTTTCTGTTACAAAATGAATTGAAAAAATATTCAGTAATTTTTTACTGCCGTTTACCATCATTTTGAAATCAAAAGAAATGTTGCTCCAGAATAAAATGTCATATTAAGCTTTGTATCTCTGAATTAGAGTTTTTGTATTAGTTTGTTACCTGAAGTTCCCAATGTGCCATTCGGTATAGTTTATCCAAAAAGCGCACAATTTTAGCTTAACTGTATTTTAGAAATGATGCCGTACTGGACTAATTTGTAGATTTTTGAAAAACTAATATAGTTTTTCTCCCAAAAAAGTCTGCTTTATCACACTCGTCATTACTATTAGTACTTGTCCAAGAACGCCACATTTTGAACAGATAACAAAAATTTTAAGTAATTATAACTGCACCAATTTCGAATTTTAACACTCAAATCGCGATAAGTTCCTGAACTGAACACGACGGCGATAACCATCTCCGCATTCCCGATTTCTATTAGTCACCGTAACATGCCTACAAATTTAATTTTAACTTTTCACCCAATCCAATACCAACCGCCAAGTCTACCGTCCACGTGGACTAGTTTGCTGGCGGTTCATTTCTATGTATTGTTTTTTTTAGCCTTTGAGGTTCTCTGGGGTCCTTAGATGACCAGACTTTCTCTGTTGCCACGAATATTGGTTTCACGTCGTGTTTCTCGAAGATTCTCTCAATCCGTTCTGTTAAATTTTCAACATAGGAAAGGAATTTTTTCCTTGATTAACCTATCTGGGATTACTTTGGTGTTTTCTCTACTGGGTCGTATGGCTGGCTCGAATTCTTCTCTGTACCCATTCCCTTGGAATGCATTTTTTCGGGTGATTGAATTCCTCTGGAAGACTCTATCAACCAAATTTTTAATTACCCCTATCATTTGTTGTGGCTGATGGTTAGAGTTTTTTTACAGGTACCTGTCTTGTGTGTGTTTGTTTCCTGTATACTCTTTGGACCATCTTCACGTCCAAGAAGACATCCGGCATTCAATGTCGGACAGTCTCGGCTAGCAGAGTAGACGTTGCATTGATAAATGGAAAATCGGTTATTGATGTGTCCTTCTTGATGTATCAATAGAAGGCTGCACATAAGATTCTATATTTTAGATGTTTCAGACACACCTAATGATGAAGTTTTCTTTTCTCAAATTATATATCTTTTAACTTCGTAAAATACTTCTATTGAGAGAAAAACTATTCTACCTATTTGTCCATTACAGTGCCTAGAATGTTATATAGATTAAAAGTTTTTACATGGTAATAAGTTGAATGTATCCCATGTTGCTGTATATTAAAAAAATGCTCATTATCAACAATTGTAAAAGTAGAGAAAAGCAATATGTGCCACTTGTAATTTATATATCAACATGGACATTATAGTGTTCGTGATTGTTCTTGAAACTTTGTCATAAAAATATGTGTTAGTCCATTGAATGTTTCCTTTTTGTTCTAAATGAAGTTGATAGTAAAAATTTTATCGACAGTATACTCGGAATCCAAATATTCAATCCAATTTTAAAGAAATCGTACATACCGTTTATTTGGTGTTTTGGTACTGTCTGTAGAAACTTCATTGAAACATTATTTTTGAACTGATAGAAACATCTGGAATGAGAATAAAATTTTCACCATTTTTTTTCCTATCCACTAACAAATAGTTGCTACCGTAAATTTCATAGTGTTCGATTCATATAGTTATATTATTGAGAGGAGTTGGAAGAATATCAATATATTTTATATCAATATATGTTAGTTGGATATTTCAAAGTTAATTAGAGTAAAAGTAATTATATTTCTTGTTAGATTGATGACCAATTTATTTTGTAGAAATTCATATTGGATATAGAATAATGAAAATAACTTTTGCCTAATTTCTACAAAGTTTTTTATTTGTTATGTGCCCGGTTTCGGTTTATTAAACCAGTTAATCGAAAACCGAAACCGGTCGTAACAAATGATGAACTTAGTAGAAATTAGACAAAAGTATTTTCTTTATTCTATATTCAATTAAAATTTTTACATCTCTCTCATATGAGTTTTGTGTATGTGAATGTGTTTCTTTTTTTATCGAAGAAATCTGATAAGATCAGAATTAGTTCAAAAAGCTAGATCAAATTATTTTGTTTCATTGTTTTAATTCAAACTCAGATCAGGAACTATCAGAATGAGGTACACAGATATCATCTTTTTATCTGATATCACTTTTTCCAAAAACTAATCTTCGCTTGTCATACAAGTAAAAGAAAGAATGCAGTCTTCAAATGAAAAATTGTTTTATTATCAATTCGTCATTATTTTATTCTGTATAAAAAAATATTTAACGAAGGTTATTGGCATTTCATATGCCAATAACCTTCGTTAAATATTGACAAAAGTATTCAAACAAGGAAATCTAAAATTTGAAGTCTGGTCAATAGTAAATTACTTTCATTTTTAAGAATAAAAAAATAAATAGTTGTTTGAAATTCAATGTGGGATGTGAATGAAGAAATTTTGTTTAAATAAAAGTAACTTTCATGTAGTTATTGCAATTATTTGTCAATATAAGATGTCTTATGAATTAGCATTTAATTTATGCTCAAATTGAATAACTTTAAAATCTATTTTTCCGTTA